TGTTCTTCTGGTTCAGGGTCTTTAGGTATAATACCAACAAACTGACCTACCCTTTTACCAATATTTTTGACACCGTTCCAAATTCCTCTTCCTACGGTTTTTATTCCATTCCATATACCTCTTCCAACATTTCGAAAGAAGTTTCCTATCTTACTGAAGAAACCCATTTTACTATATGTAAAAATCTAATGTCCGCCTAGTCTCTTACGTTTCCTGTTGAGTTCCATAGCATTCTTTAACTGGAGCTCATACATTCTGTTTCTCCTCTTAGAGAAACATATTCTGGGTCAACTCCTGTGTTCGCGTCATCTGCATAAAGTGTTTTATATCCCACTTCAGGGTTTGTATAAAACTCTTTCCATCTACAATTTGCATACCATGGTGGCAAACCTAACGCAGCGTCATTTGACATGGCAGTTTGCATTTGTACATCTGTTGGCACTTGACCATAGTTTGCCATTGCAGTTTGTATTCTAACTTCATTTGGAATATTCTCTGGTTTGGTTGTCCAGGTTGCTGTGCATTCGCTAAGTTCTGTGCGTCCATTTAATATTAGATAAAAATATCTCTTACGAGTACATATACTGAACATTTGAGGCATTGGTTCATCTTCATATTCTCTGTACTTTTCTGCCACGTCAAAGAAATAAATGACACAATGGAAAAAACCTAAAACAAGTAGTCCTATTCAAACACCATCATTACTAATAAAATTTCTTTGTTATGACACTTTCTCGGTTTATAGGACCTCTCTCATATTCTATCTTGTCATATCTAAACTCATAGTCATGTATGTCCTCTAACCATCTCATAACGGTTTCCAAACCACTTTTATCGGATGTAAATTAAAAGCATGGATGGTTATGTAAAACGTCTAAAGTTTCTAAAGAGTCTCTCAAAGCCAGTCTATTGGTATTGAAAATCCCATGTGTTATAGAACGGTGGGTCCACTATAAAGAAAACATTCCTTGTCTTTATATTTTTCATACAAATCTGTCCAATGACATCTCACAAACTCTATACCCTCAATATATTTTTCTATGTCCTCTTTGAAAACATTTGTATAGTTAAGATATAAAACTTTTGACATAAGTGTTTCAATGTCATGAACTCTTATAGCACCACTATATATAGTTAGCAGATATACTATCCAGTCTATATTCTGCTTTTTTCAAAACCTCTCTCACAATATTTTTCTTATCTAATGGTATACGTTCCATCTTACCTATCTGAATTTTCTTTTAACTCTTTCAATATTTTGTTAGTGTCTGGAATATGTTTGAGACGGTCCATATAGTTGTCGAAGTCATTGCATATAATCTTTGAGTCTGGAGATATTGTATGGCACAAATGGGATATATAGAAACTTCCACCGAACAAATCTACAAATGTTAGACCATTCGGTAGTTTCTTAAGTTCTCTCAATATAATATCTTTACATTTACTCTTATTTCCAAAGAACGGTAACGGAGGTTTTGTAAAATTCATTTATATATAATAATAAAAATGTTTTTTCCTGAAAAAGTGACAGAAAAGTGACAAAACATGAAAACATATATAATTTGTGAAAAGCGACACATTATATAATGTTTTCGACCCAGAAGAAGGCTTCTTCCCAGAAGCAATGGAGGAAGAAGAAGAGTCCTCCGAATTCACACCAGAAGACTAACAATTTTCCGAATAAAAACTTCATTTATACTAAACATCTTCGGGGCTAGAGGGCACGAAGTGCCTGGAAGCCCCACTACCTTTTTTTTTTTTATTGATGATGGAAGTTTAATGTTCGAAAGCTTTTGACAATTATAAAACTAAACAGTTGTTATTTTATATTAAAACCGTATATAGTTCATAGCCACATTTACACAAATAGATTCTCATATTAAAAATTCATTTGAATGTTATCTGATATTTAAATAGTAAAAATAACAAATTATGGACAAAATTGAATGAGGGAAACGGTTTTCAATTTTGTCCATAATTTGGATATCTTGTTCATTATTGAGAGCGGAACAAAATTTGCTTCGCAAATTTTGTTCCGCTCTCAATAATGTACAAAATATAGTTTATATGGAAATTTTTTATATATTTACATTAGGATGAAAACATATAGATATGAATTTGAAACAGGATTTTGGTAGTGAATTTGTTTGCATGTGATCAGTGCACAGGATTTCATAGAGTTGATACTAAGACCACTAGAAACAACAATGTTATCAATATATGAACGAGTCTTGTTCTGTATGTTAACACCGCAGTGAAGGTTGATGCATCCTGAGAATGCGTTTTGTTCGATCGTCTTCACACAGAGAGGTATGTTGATGTACTTCAGAGATGTGCATTCAGAGAATGCTGAGAAACCGATAGTTTCGATAGAGTTGTCTGGGATCATGATACCTTCAAGATGCTTGCATCCGAAGAATGCACTGGATGAAATACTCTTGACGTTCTGTGAGAAGCAGAAGAACTTGATCGAAGATGCAGGAGGGAAGTAGATAAGATTGCTTCGTTCTTTGTTGAAAAGTGCACCGTTGTCGACAACGAAGTGTTCGCTATTATCACACTCGATAACACTAAGAGATGTGCATCCGGTGAAGATGAAGTTTCCGATATTACTAAGAAGACAACCTGATGGAATAGTGAAGACACGAAGAGATGTGCAACCTCGGAATGCATAGTCTGAGATACTGACTGTGCAGACTGGAACGGTGAATGTTTCGAGATTTGTGAACTCGAAACAGTTAGATTCGATGGACTCGATACCACTTGGAATGTTTTCGATACTTCGAAGTGTGTTGCATCCACTGAAAACATACTGGTTAAGAACACGCATATGACTATCTGGTGAAAATGTGATAGTTTCGATGCTCGTGTTCTGGAATGCATTTGTCCCGATGAAAACAACTGTCGATGGAATGTTTATTTTATTAAGACTTGTGCATCCTCTGAAACAAAACATATCAAGACTCAATATTCCTTTTTTCAGTGTGACAGATGATAGAGAACTGCACCCATTGAATGCATACTGACTGATATTTGCACTCACATTAATATCAACAAAATTGATAGTTCTTAGAGAGATGCAGTTATCAAAACATTTATCTGAGATCATACTCAAATTTTCTCCAAAAAATATAGATTGAAGAGAGTTACATCCTGAAAATGAATATTTACCAAGTTTAGAAATTGTGAGAGGAATATTGATACTTGAAAGCTGGTCGCATCCAAAGAATGCTTTGTCACCAATATCATATAAATTACTATTCAATCCAAATTCCACTGTCTTCAAATTGTGATTTGAAATAAATGTTTCAATGTTGATTTTCTCGACAGTTGATGGAATGATATAACTATCACTCTGATTCAAACTCATTACAATGATTGTTTTTGCTTTGTTATAAACAATCATTTGATCATCAATCATAAAATCAGATCCTTCAGAGAATGTCAAATTTGTGTTACTTGGGAAACAAGAACCACCGAGGTTTTTCAGGCTTGATGGTAAAACAACTTCTTTAAGATTATTACAACCATCAAATGCATAACTATCAATTTTTGTTATTCCTGATGGAATTGTTATTGATGAAATATTTGTTCTTTGAAAACATTGTGCAGGAATTGAAGTAATTCCTTTTCCAATTATAACAGAATTTAAATAAATGCAGGATCCAAAAGCTCCATCATAAATAGTTGTTACAGTATTTGGTATTTCAATTGATTTAAGTTTTGAGCTAACAAATGCCCAAGCACCAATTGATCGAAAATCACTCGAAAATTGAATAGATTCAATAATTGAATTTGCAAATGAACAAGCAGCTATTGATATTACTTTTTCAGGTATAATATAAGTTTTACTTTTATTTGGAGGAAATCTAATAAGATATGTTTGAGCTTTGTTGAATAAAATTCCATCTGATACACTGTAACTTGGATTTGATGGATCAATAATAAACTCTTTCAATGCAGTTGATACAACAAATGCATAGGTATTAACATTAGTGGTTGATTTTGGAATAAAAAAAGTTTCAATCATTACGTAATTAAAAGTATTGACACCAATATCTTTTAGATTGGATTCTACATTAATTATAACATTTTTTAGTTTGGAGCATGATTGAAAACATGATGATTCAAGTGAAGTAATTTCATTTGGAATAGAAATAGATGAGATTGACGTTGATTCAAAACAAAAAGGTGAGATTGCTTTCAGATGAGTTGGAAGAATTACATTTGTTAATGATTTGCATCCACTGAATGCATATGATCCGATTTTGGTTAAAAATTGACAGTTGCTGAAATCAACAGATGAGAGTTTTGTGCATTGATAAAAAGCACAATCAATGAAATAAAAATATCAAAAATACACATTGCATATGATTATGAATCGGAATATTCACACCATACAATAATAATAATTTTTTCTTTACTTAAAAAAAAGGCGGAAATTAAAAACAGCAGTTTGAGTACTTTCTGAGGGTCTGTTCGTCAGAAAGTATGCATTTGTAAACTTTCCGACACTAAAAAATTTTTTATCCTTTCAAAATTTTTGACAATGTCAAAAAGTATACATCGAGGTTTTCAATTTTCCTCTCAAACAGCGGTTTTTTAAAAACGCTCAATTTTTCATCGACCTTATATTGATTAGGTAATATCAGAACAAATAAGCAAAATAAAACTGAAATTTATTTGATAAATAGTTTTATATCTGTAATGAGAAATCATGCATCCTATTGCACATAAATAGTACTCTCCAAAACTAAAATTATAAAAAGAAACTTTTACGACAGATGAATTGTATTTTCCTTCTTGAATGTTCGAATCAAAAATTAGCTCAGATAATACCCAGTCTCATTTGCTTTTGATCATTTTTATGCTAAGCAAAATAAAAATGATTAGAAAATAATTGGTTTAGAGATTTGGTGATAACAAACTATCATTCATTAATTAAACCACTATTCTTTTTCATTAAATAATCCACAAAAAACATTTTTTCCATCAAAGAAATGGATGGAAATAACATTATTTTTGATGATTTAAAGATCAAAAGCATCAAAGATATTGCTATCCCTAAGCCATTTGAACTATTAGTCCAGGCAGAAGATCATTATTTTAATCTCAATCAAGAAAATTTCGAAGATTCAGTCAAATTTTTTGAACAATTTATCAAAGAAGGTCCAGGCGAAACCCAGGAAGAGAATTTCCATTATCTGCAGCACTTGCACACGTATGAAAAACCTATAAAATCATTTGAAAGCATTCAATTCAAATTATTAGTAACTCTACAAAATATTCTCTATCATCTAACCAGCATAAACGACAAAAATTCGTATGATATAGCTAATGATCCAGACTTTAAGCTTATTATTCCCTTTTCAAAGAATAAATTACCAATGAATCATTTTTCACCAAATGATTGTTCAAACCAATTAACACAAATATTACTTGATGACGACGTCACACAATTTCAGCAATACTTTTCTAAAAAAAACTTTATCAATTCTTATATCAATTTTATTGCAGAAATATACCAAAAACCATCGATTAATATTATTAAATACATCCTTATAAGTGATAATTTGCCAGAAGAAATCAAAAAGGAAGATTTGGTCAAAACAGAAAATTTAGCATATGCAATTTCTTCAGGAAACATTGAATTAATACGTTTACTTGAACAACAAGGTGCTAATTACGATAACTGCTTAACTCATGCTTTTAAATCTCGAAATTCAGATTTAATTGACTGGTTTATTGAGAATTATCAACAAAAAATTGTTGATAATATTAGTTTTCTAAACCTTAGATCAGTTATTTTCTGTTTAGAGAACAATATTTGTTCAAATTACTATGATATTTACAAAACATATTATGATTGTAATTTCAAGTCAATTCTTGAACATCTTACAACATACAAACATGATTTGATTCAAAAGGAACCACAAGTTATGATAAAGGGTTTAATGACAATGCCGAATTCCTCAATTATTAGTGATTGTTTGAAGAAAGGAAAATATGATTATTTCAACATTTTTTATGATTTAGGATTAGCTTATACTGATGGATTTTGTTCAGAACATCCTTTATCATATTTGGTTTCTCGTAAAAACTACGATTTTGATTTTTATGAAAAGATCTATCAGTTAACGCAAAGAAACAAAGCTTCACAGTTCCATTGGCCACAACCTTTTATCTATCAAATTTTGTCAAATATGGATTTATTGAAATTTTTCTTAGATAGACATATTTTCCCTATTAATTTAGATGAGGTTTTGAGATCTTGTGGTCTTGAAGAAATGAAATATATCTTTGACAATTACAAGAAACTCGATGAAAACGAGTTCATAATGATTTTTTCTGATAGAATTACTCCTTGGAACTTTAAGCCAGAATTAATCAAATATATTTTGGAAAACTTTGATTTGAGTCTGGATGATTATATTGAGTTTAATTTATTAAAGTTTGCTTTTTCAGTCGAAAATATGGAATTGATGAATTATCTTCTTGATAAAGGTGTTAAACCAATAATTAAATTAGATGATTACACCGGATACATTAAATATGATAGCGATAGCGATAGCTATGATTATGATGATGAATCTTCTAATACTCGTAATGTTATGGATGGAGCAACACATAGCAATTATGAAGCTTATAAACTTATCTTAGAAAGAGGTGGAAAAGGTAATGCAAAAGGATATCGACACTCCAAATCCATTCTTGATTATCATATATCAAAAGGAAACTTCGAAATTGTTAAACTTCTTGTTGAACATGGCGCTGTAATTAACATGAGTTCCTTAGAGAGTTGCTTAGATGAAAGAATCTTTTCTTATTTGGTTGAACAAGCAAACGATGTTAAGCTTCATAAAAACCATGAACTATTGATTAAGAATGACAAAAGTTCATATCATTTCCTTCTTTACGCAAAGAAGTATCCAATCAAAGATTTATCAATGAAAAAGCGCCTTGAATGCTTATCACGAGCATTAAAAGTTCAAAACGAAATTATTTGTATTTATCTTTTGAAGAATATTGATATTGAAGATGGAGAGAAAATTGATCATTTCCCTCGTGATAAAAAATTATGGCTATTTGAAGCTGTAACAATGAATTCACCAGAATGTGTTAAATTGCTTTTAGAATTTATAAAAAAGAGTGGATTAATTGATCGGTACTTCGATCAAAAGAAAAATAATAAGAGTTCAGAAAAAGACTTTAAGGAAAGGAAACAATTTGATGAAATGTATTTGGATGATTATGAAAATTATTTGGATGATGGTAAAAGATTTTGGGCTGACGATGACGATGTTGAAGAACCTATTTTAGAAATTGTTGATTCAAATTATTTTCTTCAGGCTGCGAAGCTGAACAACACAGAAATTGTTAAAATACTTATTGAACACAATGTCCCCATTCAAAATGTAGTTGATAACTACTACATCAATGCATTGTTTTGGGCAGCCATCCGAGGAAATGTTGAAATGATCAATCTTCTTCTTCACTATGGATATGAAAAGTTGAACATTCGCGAAGAAGATGCAGTAACACTTAATATTCATCCTGATCTTGTAAAAATGATTAGTTATTAGGATATAAATATAATTACAATATAATTTAGAATTTATGTTAATGATAAGGAATATAATTTATAAATAAATTTAGGATTTTTGCTAATAATAAATAAATTTTAAATATAAGTTTCTGAAGTAATTGCATTTCATAATTTTTAAATTAAAATAGCTATATTAACATAAAATAGATAAAAATCAAAATTCATGCAATTGAAATTATATTGAAAAGTTTTACAATATGGAACTGCTAATTGATCAAATACTTCAAAGCCTAGAAGATCTAAATAATTCCTCCCACTATTATTTGGACCTGTTTGAGTTAATCGTATCGAATTACAATTATAAACTTTAGAAAATTGAAAATACTTTTGGTCATTGTATCTGCATATAGTAAAAGGTGCTTTATTTGGGCCCAATATATGGTCGTTCGTATGAGAGTCAATTTGGAAATTTTGTTCTCCAAAAAAGCAACGAAACTCCCAATTATGGATTATTTTATCATCTCCAGCTGGATAACTAAGACTATATCCTTCAATTTTCATTTGATAAACAAGAAATGAAAATTCAACATATGAATTTTGGTAATTCTCACTTGCCCAACCATATAGATCACTTGATTCTTCAATTACTATGTCAACTGGTTTCCATGTTGTATCAGTACATCTAGAACTGTTTCTTAATATTACATATTGTTTGATTGGGAAATTTCTTTTCCTTGCTTCATGAAAAATTCCATGCATTGGATGCACAAAATCATATTTTGCCATAAATCTATTTAACATACTCTTAGAATCGAAAACATTTTGATTAAGATTTATTTCAAAATTTATTTTGAAATCAAAAAGTATAAATGAATATATATTGTCTATTCAAAGAATTTCAATTCATGCTTGTGATTTTTAAATGTTATTTGAACATTGAAATCTTACTTTTAGTTAAATTGGATGTTAATTTAATGTTTTGTTGCAATAACTTAGAATAGAATAATGCCTCAATGCCTTATAAGCTAACATATCATTTAAATTTTTTAGCAAATATAATATTAAAAAAAGTTTATGTTTACATAATGATAATTGGTGTTAAAAGAGTGATGGAGATTGTTGAAAAAGTTGATAGTTTTTGAGCACATGTGTTTACAATAAGTTTGCAATCTAATTCAAATGATATTATTGGGATGTTTCGTTGTGTGAATAAATTGATCTTACTTTTGGAGCATCGAATTGATCCACATTTAAGAAGATGTGGTGAGTCTTCGAATGCTCGCTCGCCAATTGTCGTTAAGCTTGAGCTAGTGATGTACAAGAATGAAAGTTTGCTGCAGCCTTTTAATGATTCTGTTCCAAGTTCTTTGATGCTGTTCCCGCTGAAAAGGATTCGGACAAGATTAGAACATGACATGAATGCGTAGTTTCCAATTGTTGTCATGGTAACAGGAACAATGTATGTGTCGGTTGGATTTGATGGGATGAATGCGATGAGGCGTGTCTCATCATAGTTAGTGAATGCACCGTTGCTGAATCGATATCGATCATCACTTTCATCAACTTGGATAGATATAAGATTTGGACAGTTGACAAATGCACCACCATAGATCTCGTTGATGTTGCTATGAAGTGGAAGTGAAACTCGAGACAATGAATAACAATTTCGGAATGCAAATGATTTCATAACGGTGAGACTGCTTGGAATTTCAAATGATTCTAATTTCGTGCAAAATTCGAATGCTGATGCTTCGATCGAAGATGGATTGTTATTCAAGTTGACAGAGATGAGATTCTGGCAGTTGTAAAAACAGTTTTATGGAACTGATTCTGTGATGAATGAAACTGTTTCAATCCCACAATTCATGAATGAACCAAAATTGATTGTAACTGAATTCTTTGTATTAACAAATGTTGTAAGTCCGCTGTTTTGAAATGCAAACTCGTTGATTTTTGAGATTTGTGTTGATGACATTCCAATATCTCCTAAACTAAAACATGACCAAAATGCATTTTCTTCAATCGTTTGTATTGATGGTGGAAGTTTAATATTCGAAAGCTTTTGACAATTATAAAAGCAATTATTTGGAATAACTGTTAATGCATTGTTACTTATAAAGTTAACTGTACTGAGATTGTTACATCCATAAAAACATTTTGGTTCAATATATGTGACACTTGATGGGATATCAATCTTCTCAATTGTTGATGATTCAAATGCTCTTTCATTGATTGATTCTAATGTATTACCATTAAATGTCACATATCGAAGATTTTTAGAACTGAAGACAGATATTCCAATAGATGTTAACCCTTCTGGAATTACTAAATCTTTTGTTTCTGAACCAAAATATGTTGATAATGTTTTCTTGTTGTCTGTAAATAACATTTGATCTCTATAATCAATATTTTTATTCTTTGAAGCATCAATTGTTAATTTAATACAACCTGTAAAAGCTGACTGTCCAATATTAGTTAATGTCTCGGGAATTTCCATAAATAATAAATTTTCACAATTATTAAAGGCAGATGCTTTAATTGATCCTGTTTTGCTTGAAAGATTTATATACTGAAGTGAATGACAATCTTGAAAAGTAAATCCATTGATAACGGTAACATTCTCGGGCATTTTGATTGATTTAATTGGTGTGCCTGAGAAAGCCCAATTTCCGATTGAAGAAATATTCTCATGTAATGTAAAATTATTGATTTTTGTGCCTCTAAAGCATCTATTATATATCAATGTAACAAAATTGGGAACAATATACTCGCCTGAATAAGATGGAACGACAAATACTAATGTTTGGTTATTATCACCGGTATAAACAGACTTACCATTTGATCTGTATACAGTATTTTCCGAATCAATAGTTATCGTTTCAATTGAGCTTGCAGCAAAAACTCCTTGACCAATTTGATTGACTTTTTTTGGAATAAATATACTTTTACACTTAACTAATGCAAAACATTCATTGGATAATGTGGTCAAATTAGAATTTGGTGAAATATTAAATGATATAGATGAGGTATATCCAAAAGCCCAATTATGATCACCAGCCCATCCTTCAATGGTTTCTACTGAATCTGGTAGATTTATAGTATTTAAAGAATAGCATTTGTAGAAACAACCGCTTTTTATCGAAATTATTTTTGGAGGGAAAAAGAATGTTGATAGTTTTGGACAAGTACTAAAAACAGAATAATTTAGATATTGGAGTTTATCACATTGACGTAAGTCTGCTGTTTCAAGATTTGAGGAATAAAAACAAAACTTACAAATGCTCTCACATTTGCTAAATGTAGCAAATCGTAATGATGTAATATTTGCTCTGCACTTATAAAATGGACTGTTGACATCTTTATCTCCTCCTTGGATAACTTTGACACTTTGGAGGATTTCAACCTCACCACTTAAACTATCTGGACATCGAATAAGAACTGTTTTTGCATCATCGAGGTATTCAATACCTCTTTCATCAAATTTATTCGACGTCTACGACTATAAATCATGAATTATTTTTTTGATAAAACTAACCTCAAAAAATAAATTCGGACCAAACTATTGTTATTGTCTATTAAAACTAAAACGAAGGATGATAACAGTTCGCAAGCATGTATACGCTGTATTGAACTCATTCCCCTCTTCAATAGTAAATTCAATTTCATGATTTAAGTCTCCATATCTTATATGTTACATGAAAATTGAAAGCAAGACACTAAAATAAATTAAATTCAAGGTTGAATTCTTGTTTATCATATTTGGTTGCCGATCAAAAGCATGATTTGAATTTTTATGAAAAGATCTATCAGTTAACGCAAAGAAACAAAGCTTCACAGTTCCATTGGCCACAACCTTTTTTCTATCAAATTTTGTCAAATATGGATTTGTTGAAATTTTTCTTAGATAGACATATTTTCCCTATTAATTTAGATGAGGTTTTGAGATCTTGTGGTCTTGAAGAAATGAAATATATCTTTGACAATTACAAGAAACTCGATGAAAACGAGTTCATAATGATTAGCTTAAACAGAATGTATAGAAAGTTTTTATATATTTACAATAGTATGAAAACATATAGATATGAATTTGAAACAGGATTTTGGTAGTGAATCAGTTTGCATGTGATCAGTGAACATGATTTCATAGAGTTGATACTAAGACCACTAGAAACAACAATGTTATCAATATATGAACGAGTCTTGTTCTGTATGTTAACACCGCAGTGAAGGTTGATGCATCCTGAGAATGCGTTTTGTTCGATCGTCTTCACACAGAGAGGTATGTTGATGTACTTCAGAGATGTGCATTCAGAGAATGCTGAGAAACAGATAGTTTCGATAGAGTTGTCTGGGATCATGATACCTTCAAGATGCTTGCATCCGAAGAATGCACTGGATGAGATACTCTTGACGTTCTGTGAGAAGCAGAAGAACTTGATCGAAGATGCAGGAGGGAAGTAAATAAGATTGCTTCGTTCTTTGTTGAAAAGTGCACCGTTGTCGACAACGAAGTGTTCGCTGTTATCACACTCGATAACACTAAGAGATGTGCATCCGGTTAAGATGAAGTTTCCGATATTACTAAGAAGACAACCTGATGGAATAGTGAAGACACGAAGAGATGTGCAACCTCGGAATGCATAGTCTGAGATACTGACTGTTGAGACTGGAACTGTGAATGTTTCGAGATTTGTGAACTCGAAACAGTTAGATTCGATGGACTCGATACCACTAGGAATGTTTTCGATACTTCGAAGTGTGTTGCATCCACTGAAAACGTACTGGTTAAGAACACGCATATGACTATCTGTCGAAAATGTGATAGTTTCGATGTTCGTGTTCTGGAATGCATTTGTCCCGATGAAAACAACTGTCGATGGAATGTTTATTTTATTAAGACTTGTGCATCCTCTGAAACAAAACATATCAAGACTCAAAATTCCTTTTTTCAGTGTGACAGATGATAGAGAACTACATCCACTGAATGCATACTGACTGATATTTGCACTTAAATTAATATCAACAAAACTGATAGTTCTTAGAGAGATGCAATTCTCAAAACATTTATCTGAGATCATACTCAAGTTATCACCAAAGAAGACGGATTGAAGAGAGTTACATCCAGAGAATGAATATTTACCAAATTTAGAAACTGTGAGAGGAATGTTGATACTTGACAGCTTGTCACACCCAAAGAATGCTTTGTCACCAATATCATATAAATTAATATTCAATCCAAATTCCACTGTCTTCAAATTGTGATTTGAAATAAATGTTTCAATGTTGATTTTCTCGACAGTTGATGGAATGACATAACTATCACTCTGATTCAGACTCATTACAATGTTTGTTTTTGCTTTGTTATAAACAATCATTTGATCATCAATCATAAAATCAGATCCTTCAGAGAATGTCAAATTTGTGTTACTTGGGAAACAAGAACCACCAAGATTTTTCAAGCTCGATGGTAAAACAACTTCTTTAAGATTATTACAACCATCAAATGCATAACTATCAATTTTTGTTATTCCTGATGGAATTGTTATTGATGAAATATTTGTTCTTTGAAAACATTGTGCAGGAATTGAAGTAATTCCTTTTCCAATTATAACAGAATTTAAATAAATGCAGGATCCAAAAGCTCCATCATAAATAGTTGTTACAGTATCTGGTATTTCAATTGATTTAAGATTTGAGCTTACAAATGCCCAAGCACCAATTGATCGAAAATCACTCGAAAATTGAATAGATTCAATAATTGAATTTGCAAACGAACAATCAGCTATTGATATTACTTTTTCAGGTATAATATAAGTTTTACTTTTATTTGGAGGAAATCTAATAAGATATGTTTGAGCTTTGTTGAATAAAATTCCATCTGATACACTGTAACTTGGATTTGATGGATCAATAGTAAACTCTTTCATTGCAATTGATCGAACAAATGCATACTCAATAATAGATGAAGTTGATTTTGGAATAAAAAGCGTTTCTACAATGTCATAATTAAAAACATTGGAGTTAATTTCTTTTAGATTGGATTCAACATCAATTATTACGTTTTTTAATTTTGAACAATATTGAAAACATGATTCACCAAGGGAGGTAACTTCATTTGGAATAGAAATAGATGAGATTGAAGTTATTTCAAAACAAAAAGGTGATATTGATTTCAAATGAGTTGGAAGAATTATATTTGTTAATGATTTGCATCCACTGAATGCATATGATCCGATTTTGGTTAAAAATTGACAGTTGCTGAAATCAACAGATGAGAGTTTTGAACACTGATAGAAAGCACAATCGTTGATGTCTGAAAGATGAGATCCAATTGGAAAATTGATAGATAATAGAGTGTTCTGACTTCCTTTGAATGCAAAATCTTTACACTCTTTTCCTGCATAAAGGCCATATATTGTTTCACAACTTTGTTTAAGATCAACATTAACACTATTTTCTGATGATGATAAAATTATACCCAGATTTGCCTTACTTTTACCACCTCTCTAAAGCTGGGGACACCGCCTATCGTTGGGAGTAGCTATTAAATAGAACCACCAAGGGTATTTTTCGAACTGCCGGTGTAGTGTAGTGCAAACATCTGACATAATGATTCATTATGCCAAGGTTTTATTCCCATTTAGCTAATTTTTTTCTTTTTTGGATCATGAATTTTTTTTGGGTCACTATAAGATTTGTTTCATGTTCTAAATCTGCTTCATATGTAATCTATTTTTATTTACCTATTTTTTAAAAATCTATTGGATTGCCAAATTTGAATATATTTAAAATCATAAAACTCCAAAAAAACTATAAATATATGTTTTATGCATAGTGCCGATACTCAAATATCAGATTACTTAGATCCATGAATAATATCCGAATTTTTTTTTCTTAAAATTAAACTTCAAAACTTCTTGCAATCTTATTCTTCATCAATTGTAAATTTTTAAAACCATTTTTTAAAATAATTTTGCGTAATTTTATTCTCATGTTGTTTTAATCGAAAATTGATACATTTTCAAAAAAATAATATTGACTTATGAAATTCATTTTTAAGGTGAAATAGTATTGTTTTTATTAAAGTATATGAATAATATATAAAAAATTAATGAATAATATAAGCAGATTTTTAGTTTACAAAACAAATATGAGCAATGCAATTTCAAACTTTTGCTGGCAATTTCGATATTGCTCAAGTTTGTAGTATTTGTGATACCTATAACATCGGCTTAATCAAAATTCGATTTTTCTTATGAGTTATTGAGAAAATTTGATTGCAATGAGAAGGATTTCGACGTTTTTGATAAACTAAGAGCTGAGCTTTAGGGGTTCAGTTCATTTATGGCTGTAGTTTGATGCGTAGATCTCTTTTTTATTGTAAATTCTTTCAGCATGGAGATCGAGAATGAATCTTTTGAGAACTTTATGAGTTTTTACACCCGTAAAGAGGTCCTTCGAGGAAAGATAGTCCAGACTACATGAAGATGTGGGTTAACCAAAAAAATCCGATGGTTTCCCCATATTCATGTAGATCTTCGAAAAAATGAGCACCAAAAAAGCCAAAAAAATAGGCTTTTTATTGGATTTGTACACTAGATCAATAACCTATTTAGGATCTGACACTCTTTTTAGCCAGAGATATGAGGTCCTTTCTAGGAAAACGATCTATTCATCCATAAAAAAAATGAATTATCGTTTTCCCCAGAAATTACATGGGGAGTGGTAAAAGTAAGGAAAATCTGGGTATTATCATTATTATATTTTTCATTCGTTTTGAATTATTTATTTTATGTGGTTTACATATAATTATACGGTTTAAAATTTCATAGAAATGTATTCACCTGTATTGATATCATTTCTTAATATTTTCATCAATTCAAAATATATTGGAATCTTTTGAAGTTTTGGTGTTTTGGTTATGACAAACAGGCATGTTAAATTTTAAAACATACAGTATTCACATTTAAAGATATTTTCGATTTGAATGTATTTACACAGAAATTTTATCACTTAAATTGATATTATTTCTTAATCTTAAATATATATTCAATGTATTGGTATACAATATATTAATCTAAAATTTTGGAGTTTTGTTGATTTGGCTCGATTTATCATAAAATATAAAATTATAAAATGTCACTTTTTAATTTGTCAGGTTTCAAACACTTCATATTTATGGAACTAATAAACTTATTAAAACCTAATTCAAAGTTTAAAAGACATAATATCTCTTCTAATTCTATTACATAAATTATGTTTTAAAGTCAAACTTTATTGAATATATGATTGAAATTAACTAATTCAAAATGAATGAAAAATATAATAATGATAATATAATTTTATCATCATCAGAAAATAGTGTTAATGTTGATCTTAAACAAAGTTGTGAAACAATATATGGCCTTTATGCAGGAAAAGAGTGTAAAGATTTTGCATTCAAAGGAAGTCAGAACACTCTATTATCTATCAATTTTCCAATTGGATCTCATCTTTCAGACATCAACGATTGTGCTTTCTATCAGTGTTCAAAACTCTCATCTGTTGATTTCAGCAACTGTCAATTTTTAACCAAAATCGGATCATATGCATTCAGTGGATGCAAATCATTAACAAATATAATTCTTCCAACTCATTTGAAATCAATATCACCTTTTTGTTTTGAAATAACTTCAATCTCATCTATTTCTATTCCAAATGAAGTTACCTCCCTTGGTGAATCATGTTTTCAATATTGTTCAAAACTAAAAAGCATAGCAATTCAAACAGATTCATGTCTGCAGCGAATAGATATGTTTGTATTTTTAGGAACAATTATTGAAACATTTTTATAACAAAATCAGCATCATCTATTGCCTCTAATGCATTTGAAAATTTATTATCGTTAAGGGAATTTACTATTGATCCATCAAATCCTTATTTTAGTGTAAAAGGAGGTGTATTATTCAACAAAGATCAAACAAGTATTTTAAGATTTCCATCAAATAATAGCAAATCTTATATTATTCCCAACACAGTCACATCAATTAGGGGCAATTCATTTAGTTTTGCCATGATCGAATCTATTGAATTTTCCCCAAATATGAGAGCAATTCCACCATGGTCATTCTTTGGATGTAATATCAATTCTGTTGTGATTCCTGACTCCATTACACAATTAGGAGAAGGTGCTTTCAGTAGATGTAAGAGACTCAATTCTATTGTAATTGGAGGAGGAATCAAAACAACTTCAGCTTTCTGTTTTAGAGAAACAAATATTTCATCAATAACAATTCCATCAGGAATAACAAAAATTGATAGTTATGCATTTGATGGTTGTAATAATCTTAAAGAAGTTGTTTTACCATCGAGCTTGAAAAATCTTGGTGGTTCTTGTTTCCCAAGTAACACAAATTTGACATTCTCTGAAGGATCTGATTTTATGATTGATGATCAAATGATTGTTTATAACAAAGCAAAAACAAACATTGTAATGAGTCTGAATCAGAGTGATAGTTATGTCATTCCATCAACTGTCGAGAAAATCAATATTGAAACATTCAGTTCAAATCACAATTTGAAGACAGTGGAATTTGGATTGAATATTAATTTATATGATATTGGTGACAAAGCATTCTTTGGGTGTGACAAGCTGTCAAGTATCAACATTCCTCTCACAGTTTCTAAATTTGGTAAATATTCATTCTCTGGATGTAACTCTCTTCAATCCGTCTTCTTTGGTGATAACTTGAGTATGATCTCAGATAAATGTTTTGAGAATTGCATCTCTCTAAGAACTATCAGTTTTGTTGATATTAATTTAAGTGCAAATATCAGTCAGTATGCACTCAGTGGATGTAGTTCTCTATCATCTGTCACACTGAAAAAAGGAATATTGAGTCTTGATGTGTTTTGTTTGAGAGGATGCACAAGTCTTAATAAAATAAACATTCCATCGACAGTTGTTTTCATCGGGACAAATGCATTCCAGAACACGAACATCGAAACTATCACATTTTCGACAGATAGTCATATGCGTGTTCTTAACCAGTACGTTTTCAGTGGATGCAACACACTTCGAAATATCGAAAACATTCCAAGTGGTATCGAGTCCATCGAATCTAACTGTTTCGAGTTCACAAATCTCGAAACATTCACAGTTCCAGTCTCAACAGTCAGTATCTCAGACTATGCATTCCGAGGTTGCACATCTCTTCGTGTCTTCACTATTCCATCAGGTTGTCTTCTTAGTAATATCGGAAACTTCATCTTAACCGGATGCACATCTCTTAGTGTTATCGAGTGTGATAACAGCGAACACTTCGTTGTCGACAACGGTGCACTTTTCAACAAAGAACGAAGCAATCTTATCTACTTCCCTCCTGCATCTTCGATCAAGTTCTTCTGCTTCTCACAGAACGTCAAGAGTATTTCATCCAGTGCATTCTTCGGATGCAAGCATCTTGAAGGTATCATGATCCCAGACAACTCTATCGAAACTATCGGTTTCTCAGCATTCTCTGAATGCACATCTCTGAAGTACATCAACATACCTCTCTGTGTGAAGACGATCGAACAAAACGCATTCTCAGGATGCATCAACCTTCACTGCGGTGTTAACATACAGAACAAGACTCGTTCATATATTGATAACATTGTTGTTTCTAGTGGTCTTAGTATCAACTCTATGAAATCATGTTCACTGATCACATGCAAACTGATTCACTACCAAAATCTTGTTTCAAATTCATATCTATATGTTTTCATCCTTATGTAAATATATATAAAAACTTTCTAAAAATCCTATTTTTATAATTTAAACATCCGAAATAGTTTCATGGAAAATAACTCCAAGAATATGAGAATCCGAATGATATATTTGATTTTAAGTTATAATAAAAGCATAGATATAGAAAATGTTAATATTTGAACAAATATATTTGATTTGAAATGAAATGCATTGTGGAATTTCCAGATTACCAAAAACTTCGAATCCAAGAAGACCAAAGTAATGTCGCCCGTTGTTATTTGGGCCGATTTGTGTTATTTGAAGAGAATTGCAAGTATGTGACTTCGAAAGTTGAAAATATTTCTGATCATTATATCCACAAAATGTATAAGGAGCTGTATTAGGACATAATGTCTTATCATCCAATCGTTTATCAATGGAAAAATTTTTATCACCAAGAAAACAACGAAGTTCCCAATTACGAGGAATCTCATCATCTCCTGATGGATAACTAAGACTATAACCTTCAATATTCAGTTGGTATAATAAAAAATGAAATTCAACGAAGGAATTTTCGATACCTTCGCTTGCCCAACCATATGGATCACTTGATTCTTCAATTAGTATGTCAACTGGTTTCCATATTGTTTCAAAATATCGAGAACTGTTTTTTATTATTACATATTGTTTAATTGGGAAATTTCTTTTCCTTGCTTCATGAAAAATACCATACATTGGATGCTCAAAATCGAATTTTGCTGTAAATCTATTTAGCATACTTTAAGGATCGAAAACATTTTGTCCACAAAGTATTTTAAAATTTACGTTTTTATAGATTTTTACAGGCGCGTAGGGGGTTAAAACACAACTATCTATAATTGAAAACGGATAAATTATTACACACAAAAAAAAGCTAGTAAATTGAAAAAAAAGATGCTTAATCTTAAATATATGTTTAATTTTACATAATTATGATTGGTGTTAGAAGAGTGATGGAGATTGTTGAAAAAGTTGATAGTTTTTGAGCACATGTGTTTACAATAAGTTTGCAATCTAATTCAAATGATATTATTGGGATGTTTCGTTGTGTGAATAAATTGATCTTACTTTTGGAGCATCGAATTGATCCACATTTAAGAAGATGTGGTGAGTCTTCGAATGCTCGCTCGCCAATTGTCGTTAAGCTTGAGCTAGTGATGTACAAGAATGAAAGTTTGCTGCAGCCTTTTAATGATTCTGTTCCAAGTTCTTTGATGCTGTTCCCGCTGAAAAGGATTCGGACAAGATTAGAACATGACATGAATGCGTAGTTTCCAATTGTTGTCATGGTAACAGGAACAATGTATGTGTCGGTTGGATTTGATGGGATGAATGCGATGAGGCGTGTCTCATCATAGTTAGTGAATGCACCGTTGCTGAATCGATATCGATCATCACTTTCATCAACTTGGATAGATATAAGATTTGGACAGTTGACAAATGCACCACCATAGATCTCGTTGATGTTGCTATGAAATGGAAGTGAAACTCAAGACAATGAATAACAATTTCGGAATGCAAATGATTTCATAACGGTGAGACTGCTTGGAATTTCAAATGATTCTAATTTCGTGCAAAATTCGAATGCTGATGCTTCGATCGAAGATGGATTGTTATTCAAGTTGACAGAGATGAGATTCTGGCAGTTGTAAAAACAGTTTTATGGAACTGATTCTGTGATGAATGAAACTGTTTCAATCCCACAATTCATGAATGAACCAAAATTGATTGTAACTGAATTCTTTGTATTAACAAATGTTGTAAGTCCGCTGTTTTGAAATGCAAACTCGTTGATTTTTGAGATTTGTGTTGATGACATTCCAATATCTCCTAAACTAAAACATGACCAAAATGCATTTTCGCCAATCGTTTGTATTGATGGTGGAAGTTTAATATTCGAAAGCTTTTGACAATTATAAAAGCAATTATTTGGAATAACTGTTAATGCATTGTTACTTATAAAGTTAACTGTACTGAGATTGTTACATCCATAAAAACATTTTGGTTCAATATATGTGACACTTGATGGGATATCAATCTTCTCAATTGTTGATGATTCAAATGCTCTCTCGTTTATTGTTGTTAGTGTTTGGCCATTAAATGTGACATATCGGATTTTCATATTGTTAAATACATATGAATCGATTGATGTTAACCCGTCTGGGATGATTAAATCTCTTGTTTCTGTACCAAAATAAGCTGAAAGAGTTTTCTTCTCATTAGTGAATAGCATCTGATCAACATATTCGAAATTACTATTCTTCGATGTATCAATACGAAGATTTTTACATCCAACAAATGCTGATTGTCCAATATTACTTAATGTCGCTGGAAAATCCATGAAAAGTAAATTAGGACAATCAGCAAAACAAAATGATTCTAATATTGTTGTTTTGTTTGATAAATTCACATACCGTAGATTAGAACAGCTTCTGAATGCATTGGTACTAATGGTAATAACTTTATCTGGAATTTTAATTGATGTGATTTTTGTTCCAGCAAAAGCCCAACTCTTAATTGAGCTAATATTTTCATGTAATACAATATTTGTGAGTTTTACTGCTCTAAAACATCCTTCGAAAATAGATGTGACATAATTTGGAACAACATACTCTCCTGACAATGTTGGAACACACATAACTAATGTTTGGTTATTTTCTCCTGTATATACGGATTTTCCATCTGATCTATAAACTTCATTTTCTGGATCAATAGTAATATTCTCTATTGAACTAGAAGCTAAAATTCCTAAACCAATTTTAGTAACTTTTTAGGAATAAATATGCCTTTACAACTTATAAAAATAAATGCTTCCGAATTTAGTATCGTAAGATTAGAATTTGGAGAAATATTAAATGATATAGATGAGGTAGATGAAAAAGGCCAATAATGGTCATCTGCCCATCCATCTATAGATTCAACAGAATCTGATAGATTTATTATTTTTAAGGAAACATCATTGTAAAAGCAGCCGCTTTTTATCGAAGTTATTTTGGGAGGGAAATAAAATGTTGAAAGTTTTGGACAAGAGCTAAAGACAGAATAATTTAGATATTGGAGTTTATCACATTGACGTAAGTCTGCTGTTTCAAGATTTGAGGAATAAAAACAAAACTTACAAATGCTCTCACATTTGCTAAATGTAGCAAATCGTAATGATGTAATATTTGATCGGCATTTATAAAATGGACTGTTGACATCTTTATCTCCTCCTTGGATAACTTTGACACTTTGGAGGATTTCAACCTCACCACTTAAACTATCTGGACATCGAATAAGAATTGTTTTTGTATCATCGAGGTATTCAATACTTCTTTCATCAAATTTATTCGACGTCACTTATGTTCATACATAATAACAAAAAACCTTGACAAAACCCCTTTTATTCAATGGTGGTAACTTTTCATTTTGCAAAAATGATAAAATGTGTATCAACTATTAATAAATATATATACAAATATATATTCGCTTTTTAATTGCGGTCCCTTCTCTCAATAAGTGAAATTATAAACTATTTTTCCATCATAAAGTCTCTTATTCAAATTTTTGTTAGAGATTCACTCAATATTGAGGCAAAAAAACGAAAGGAGGACTTTATAAAATTTGTTTAAAACAAATTATAAAATAAATTCTTAAGTCACAAATTTAATTTGGAAAGTTAATAATTCTCAGGCATACGATTATTTTTGATTCAAATGCTGTTCGGCATTAAAAGCAAAAATAATCATATACCAGAGAATTACACTTTCCCGACATTTTTGGGGTCGCTTCGCGCCCCTGACAAAACGTCGGAAAAGTGTAAATTTTCCAATTTCTATTAATAAATTAAAAATTATTTTTGAAATTAGTTGTTTTTACCGTAAAAAAAGAACAATAGTTTTGAAATGGTATTTTATTTATATCAACCAAAAATAATCAAACATCTATAATAAACAAAACATAAAATAACAGGAGAGGATCAGTTCTCGACGGATGTTGATGTCACGAAATCCATAATTTCCGAAGTCATGATATCGCTCTTGGCGTCAACATTGAAATTGCCAGATGAACCTTTACGATTCTCTCCGTTTGTCAATTTTTGTGCTTCTTGTTCATCTTCTTCTTCTGCTAATGTCTGGCTGATCATATTTGTCTCGTCAATGTCCCTGGCCGAGTTAAACCAAGGATGTTGAACAATGTCCGCGAAAGTTGGTCTTTCTGTAGGATCCTTGTTGAGGATCTTCGTAATTAAGTCTATTACTTCAGGCGATGCACCCGTGCCTTCTGGTATTTGGAGATTATTATTTGCAAGTAATTCTGTAACAGCGAATATAGTATTTGCGACCGTTTTACCTTGGGCTTGGTCTAGATCGAAAGGTAATTTTTTGAATATAATGCTGTATAAAGAAACTCCAAATGCCCATACATCGGCTGGTTTTGGAAGGAAAGGGTCGCCTCCGCATTCCTCGGGAGAAAGGAAGGCTGGAGACCCTCTTGTGTCAATAAGCTTCTGGTTTGGAGACTCAAGAGTCGTTGAAACTGAAAAATCTGAAAGACAGAAGAATGTATCAGAAAAAACTAGAATATTTTCCGGCTTAATATCTCTATGAACTATATTTCTGCTATGTACGTATCGTAATGCTTCCGCAATTTGATGAAAAGCTATAGCAACGATTTCCTCGTTATATTGAATTGAATTTAAATAAGATTGGAGCGATCCTTTTTCAGCGTAAGGCATCATCAGAATAAGAGAATTGGAATAATCATCTTCAATAACTTCAATTATGGGTAATACATAACGGTGCGAAATTGATGCGAGAATTTCGATTTCTCTTTGGACAGCTACGTATGGAGCCTCTTCTCCACCGAGGGTCTGTCTAAAAAGCATGCTTTTATTATAAACTTTCGCTGCAGCCATCTCGTGAGTTTCTGTATTTTCCGCTAAAAACACTCTTGATAGAGATCCTTTGCCGATTTCTTTCTTAAACAACCATTCGAATATTTGTGGATTTTCTGTCTGTAATATAAACGATGCGAATGAGAAGAAGGATCTTATCGACCGAGGAGAATTGCTACTAGACATCTGTATGCTCGAATTCGAGAGATCCTTTTTCGGGGAGTTCTGTGGATTCTGTGTGCCTGCCGGCGAGTGTGGTAGAATTTACGAAAAAGTGACACTAGAAAAAGTGACACTTAACCTTAAATTACCAAACACTATTTTTTGATTGTATTTTGTTATTTATATATTTATATATATATGTATATATGTATATATTTATATATGCATATATTTATATATGTATATATTTATATATGTATATATTTATATATGTATATATTTATATATGCATATATTTATATATGTATATATTTATATATGTATATATTTATATATGTATATATTTATATATGTATATATTTATATATGTATATATTTATATATGTATATATTTATATATGTATATATTTATATATGTATATATTTATATATGTATATATTTATATATGTATATATTTATATATGTATATATTTATTAGAAACTGCTTCATGCTGCATTGAGTATTGTTGAATAATTTGAAGTAGTGGTTTTTGAAATCAGCACCCCTATGAGAGCGCTGGCGACCGAAACACCACTAGTAAGATTGTGTATTAGAAACTGCTTCATGCTGTGTTGAGTAAGCTTCGATGTCTTTGTAGGATAGCTTTCTGAGAGCGAAACAAGATAGTGTTGAAAAAAATTTTGAAAATCTGAGAGACTGTGCAAGAGCCAACGACCAAAACACTACCAGTAAGATACAGCAGTAGTAGCTGCTTCATGCTGCATTGAGTATTGTTGAATAATTTGAAGTAGTGGTTTTTGAAATCAGCACCCCTATGAGAGCGCTGGCGACCGAAACACCACTAGTAAGATTGTGTATTAGAAACTGCTTCATGCTGTGTTGAGTAAGCTTCGATGTCTTTGTAGGATAGCTTTCTGAGAGCGAAACAAGATAGTGTTGAAAAAAAAATTTTGAAAATCTGAGAGACTGTGCAAGAGCCAACGACCAAAACACTACCAGTAAGATACAGCAGTAGTAGCTGCTTCATGCTGCATTGAGTATTGTTGAATAATTTGAAGTAGTGGTTTTTGAAATCAGCACCCCTATGAGAGCGCTGGCGACCGAAACACCACTAGTAAGATTGTGTATTAGAAACTGCTTCATGCTGTGTTGAGTAAGCTTCGATGTCTTTGTAGGATAGCTTTCTGAGAGCGAAACAAGATAGTGTTGAAAAAAAAATTTTGAAAATCTGAGAGACTGTGCAAGAGCCAACGACCAAAACACTACCAGTAAGATACAGCAGTAGTAGCTGCTTCATGCTGCATTGAGTATTGTTGAATAATTTGAAGTAGTGGTTTTTGAAATCAGCACCCCTATGAGAGCGCTGGCGACCGAAACACCACTAGTAAGATTGTGTATTAGAAACTGCTTCATGCTGTGTTGAGTAAGCTTCGATATCTTTATCAGACCACCTTTAAATTAACCACTCACATTCTCACTGTGGTCCATCTAAAATTTGTAAACTTTATGACATAAAATTATATTATATGCAGGATCCCACCTATTACTTAATCTTTTTGGAATAAATGTTTTATAATATTTATCGATTGATTGTAATTTTTTGTATAAAAAAGTTTTTTATTTATATTAAAAATATATTCGGTTAATGATATTATCTTATAATTTGTAAATAAATCTAGTAATAAAATAACTTTAATAGTTGGTGTCACTTTTTCGAAAATTCTGGTTTTTCCGAATTGCTACTAGACATCTGTATGCTCGAATTCGAGAGATCCTTTTTCGGGGAGTTCTGTGGATTCTGTGTGCCTGCCGGCGAGGCGGGCGATGAATTTCCACAACCCATGCCCCTAAAAAATTCGAAAAAAACGAGATTGTCTAAATTTTCTGAACTTTACAAATTATATTCAATGTAAAAATAATCATTTGTAACAATAAAATTATCATTTAGAAATAGTGAAAGGGAGCTTTATATGGAGAACATTTTCTAAATTATAAAAACAAGCAGAGATGGACGAAAATTAATGAATTGAATTTCCCGGATAGTTTTCTGCGTAAAAAAGTGACAGCATAGAATAGCTATTGTTGACAATAACCATATAATATTATGCTATATCATGGATTAAAATCTGCAATGGAATATTGAAATGTTCCATATTAAGTTCTGTCAAAATGTAAGCTATTCAATTCTATTGTCGGGGGAAGTATCACAAATCTATCAATTTTTTTGTAAAAGTATACAAAAACATATGGTGTTCAATTAGTTTATAATAATATAAATATTAAGATTATCCAAAATAAGAAAAACTAGGTTTTGAGAACACTTTTGAGATGATAATCAAAATATTTTGATTGCAAAATAATATATTATTTATCAGATATAGAATGGATTTTTTCAAATTTAAAAATTCTGAAAAATAAACAGTTTTGTAAAGTAAAAAAAATGAACGAAAACTCGAGACCTCGTATTCCAAATGAATGGGTAAGATATATGTATGAAAAACTTGAAAGTGGTGAGTAAGGATGTCAATTTGGAAGAAAAGTGAGAAAATTTTGATTGTGAACTCATCTCTAATATTTTGGCTCCTTAATATATTTGAATCATGATCTTTGAGAAGAGTTCTCAAAAGTATTCACAAAAGCTATTTTTCCTTGAAATTTAAAAATCCTGTTTATCATATATTACCGAATTCAATTCCCTACATATTTCAAAATATTCTATGAACATTTCAATTTTTGAAAAAAACATATTTTTTCCAAATATATTTATTATCATATTTCTAATAATATTTCCTAAAGCGTCACTTTTTACTTCCTCGACGATTATTTCCCTCTCAAAAAATTCAATAGCTTACATTTTGACAGAACTTAATATGAAACAGAAATTTGATTAATTAGCCCCAATTTTGATAAGATAACATGCAAATTCTAAAAATCTGATCGAGATCCAATTCTGATAGGTAATAATAACTGAAAATTTTGTACACATCTTATTTCACTTGCTGTTTGGTTCATAAAGGCGAATGTATAAAAATTGAAATCCAAGAGTTAGAGATAAACTTATGCGTAATATTGCTTCTTCTCAGGAAATGTTCTTAATATCATTAGATTTATGCTTTCAACGATTTCTTTTCTCTCTCAAATTTGATGTTTTTTTCTATCGATAAAAAAAAACAAAAATGATAGTTCAGGTTGTTACTCTAGAAGGAAATGTATTATGGTTAGACCTCAATCATAATGCATCAGTTAAGGACTTAAAGCTTAAAGTTCAAGATAAATGGTCAACTGATGAAAATATTGAAATTTATTATCAAAAATCAAAATTAGACGATAATTCTTTAGTTTGCGTTTGTATTGGCAGTCAAAGTGCTGTGTTCACGGTTTTCCAGCCTGGTAATTACTCACAAGTTGTAAATAGAGCTAAAGCCGAAACATTAGATTATGCGCTAGGAATGACAACTAATCTTATAAACAAATTCATTCTAATATGTTCTAAATCAGCAATGGTAGAAAAAGTTATTGCATATCTTCAACTTTGTGATCAAGAAGCTGGAGAAACAATTATAAAGGAACTTTTTACAAAATTAAGAAGGAAAATGATAACAGTAGAAGAACTACCCCTTGCGTTCATATCAGAAATCGAATCGAATATTGAATTGCTTATTCCAGATGATGATGAGAGCTTTGTATTTGAAAATAGTGGAAACACATGAAACTTTTACATTGTAATATAGGTTTTCGCTATGCATATTGAATTTTATTGAAGAATAAAAAAGATATTTTTATAATATATAATTTGTTTTGGTTTAAATGAAAGAATAAAGTTTTTCGGATGAGTTGTATTGTTTCGGACAGAAAAATAACAAAAAATATTAGTATGATCATGAAACATAAACAAAAAATGGTCACTCTGGGGTTCGAACCCAGGCCCTCGCGGACCAGTGCCTTAAACTGGCGCCTTAGACCACTCGGCCAAATGACCTTGATGTTTGTTTAAAAATTATTATATTAGTAATAATAAAAATCTGAAATAAGAAGCTCAAAATGATATCTCAATCTTACTATAAAATTTTTAATGAAACATTAAATAAGCAGATCATTAAGTTAATAAAATACAACAATTTTACATTATTGAAAAAAAAATAATAAGTTCAAGTCTTTCCTTCTACTCCATTCTGAACAATTGAAGACAATCTCATTGCTGAGTTACTTGGACTTGCATTATCCTCTGGTTTTGGTGAAGCCGTTTCAGGCTTTGGAGAAGCAGCTTCTGGTTTCGGAGAATTTGTTTCAGGTTTTGGAGAATTTGATTCAGGAGGAGGAGATTTAGCATCAGGTTGATTTTCTTCTTGTGGAGGCTGTTCATCTTCTTGTTGTTGTTGATTATCTAACTCATCATCAACTTTCTCTTTAATGATATCAGAGAACTTTGAGTTTTTATCATCGTCATCATCATTATCATCATTTGGTTCATTATTTGCTGATGTTGACTTAGATTTCTTTTGAGAATTATCAACAATTTCAACTGTTCCATTATCAGGTCTTGGCATTTTCTTTGCCTTAGAATCAGCGACTTTCTTTCTAAGATCATCAATATCGATATCGAATTTCTTAGCGAGATTATCAACATCCAATTTACCACCTTTACGCATCATGTCTGCGAACTCGTTTCTGATTGTTTCTTTCTTGAGCTCCAATGTAGTTGCAGCTTGTTTCCTTCTTTCCGCTGTTTCTCTGATATTCTGCATGTAAACATCAGCTCTTTCTTGTCTGAATTTGTTGAGTTCTTCCATCTCCATGTTCTCATTGATTTTAGCTTGAGCCAATCTTTCTGCATTCTCATCTCTGATTCTATCTTTAAGTTTACGAAGAGCTGCTTGTTGTCTGATATGTTCTTCATGCATTTCTCTTGCTTCTTCAACTCTCTTTTGATCTTTCTCCCATTCCTCCATGATTTTTTCTGTTCTTTGTCTTTCTTTTTCTTGTTTCTCTTGGTTTTGTTGTGCAATATTTTCTGCCTTTTCTTTCTCGACAATTCTCATGTTCTTTATCTTGTCGAGCTTCTTCTGAAGTATTGCGTTTCTTCTCTCTTCAGCTTTATTATCAATTTTAGCAAGTTTTTCGATTCTTTGTGATCTTGCTTCTTGAACTCTTTCCTTTGCAGCGAGATGACGAGAAACAAGCATCTGAGATCTAGCTCTGCTTTGTGCTGATCTTTCTTGTAATGCTTGCTTTGTCTTTTCGACTCTTTGGACACTTTCTTGGTCTTTTCTTTCGAGATTTTTGCACTTCTTTTCGAACTGTTCTTGTTGTGCTTTAAGAGATGCTTCAAATCTCTGTCTTTGTGCATTGAAAGCAGCAGCATTTCTTTCTTTGATTTGCTGTAATTGTTCCTTTCTCTTCTGTTCTAAATAGAGTTCTCGTTTAACTTGTTCTCTTTGTTTTTCAAGTGCTTTTTGACGATCTTCTTCGAGTTGTCGATCCAAAGCTTCTCTTTGTTTGATTGCACGAAGTTGTCTTTGTCTTTCTGCTTCTGCAAGTGCTTTGATCTGTTTTTCTTTCTTCTCTTGTATCATACGTTGGTTTGCTTGGAATTCTTCCTCTTGTTTTCTCTTTATTTCGAGTAATTTTTGCTCTCTTTCTTGGATTTTTTGGAGGAGTTGGTTTTCTTTTTGGCGACGACGCTCTTGTTCGGCTTCATTCTTCTTTCTGTTCTCTTCTTCGACTTCTGCTGCTCTTTGTGCTCTCTTTGTTTGTAATTCTGCTTCTTCTTGTAAAGTTTGCTCGCGAACTAATTCAGATACGATCAACTGAACAATTTCTCGCTTCTGTAATGTCTCGATGCGCTTAAATTCTTGGCGCTGTATTTCTTCTTGTTGTTTGGCAAGTTCTTCGCGACGAGTTGAGGCTGGTTGATTATCTTTGTCAGCCTTTTCTTGTTTACGCTTGAAATAGCGCTCGCGTTCATCTTTAACGCATTGTATTAAATGTTGCCTGCGGTTCTCAAGAACACTGCGGGCTTTTTCCATTACATCTGGAAATTGTGAGTAATCCTTTAAATCTGCATCTGTAATTTTCTTCACATGCTTTGGCTCAATAGCAAGCTTTGTCATTGAAGCTATTGTGGCCTCTTCTGTGAAGTTTGGTAATTCATCGCCGCATTCGGCTTCGAAGTTCAAGATACTGATTTCTCCTTGAGCTGTTTGTGTGTATGTTCTGTTATCTTGGCTTCTTGCAGAGCTGCCGGATGAATTTTGTGGTTTAGTGTTATTTTTGTTGTTTGAAGTCTGATTAAACAAGGCATTGACTGGTTCAACTATTACTGTTTCTTTTACTGATTGAGTTTCTTCGTCTTTAGCATTTTCATTATTCTCGTTATTTTCTTCTGGAGCGGCTTCTGGCTCTTTTGTTTCTTCGTTCGCTTCATTTCCTGGCTCATTACTCGTTTTAACATTATCGCCGGGGTTTGTTAAGAAAACTTCTTTTTCTCCTTCACCCTCCATAATAAGAAAAACGTATGAAAAGTGACGAATTTTTTACATTCATTCTTTCTTCTGTTTCCTTCATATTGGTTTGTGCATTCTTCGGTGGTTGTAAGAATTTGGTTCCTTAGTCGAATTATCACAAGTTCCTCTTAAGATATTCGTAAACTAACTTGTGTCTCAGTTGATATGTTCTATATGTTGTGGTGTATAGTTTATGCTATTTTATGTGTATTTCTTTAACTATATGGTCTATCTTTCAAAGAATTTTACATTTGTGCCATTTTTCTTCATCCTTGATTAAGCGCGACACAACATTTTTGAGCTCAGTTCTTTTGCAAATGAGAGCGGACACCTATTGGCAATAAGTCTGCTCTTTATATCAATAATATAATTTGATTTAAAATTTCAGTCATATGATCAGTATTCCTTCATCATTTCCATGCTAAAGACCTTGGCGTAAAATTGTCCCGATTTCAAAAATGTAATTATCAAAGAAAATTGATATTGTTTCTCTTCAATTTTTTTTACACCGATATGAAAATATTCAAAAAATTCAATAATTTTTTGTTCTACGATCGAATAAACATTTTTATGCAGTTTTAAATGCGCAAAATTGATTTATTATTATATTTTGAACTATACCTCGACAAACACGAACTAAAATGATAAATTTAAAAATATTATCATAATTTATTCAATGATTACATATCTGGTGCTCTCAACCAAGAACAGCTCTTTTTTAAAGATTTATATATATGCATTGGAGCTTTTCTAACAAAAGAGGAAATCTTTGTGTCATTCAAAAATGCAGTTTTTGACATGATAAATAACAATTGTTTATTGAATAGATTTAAATACCTGAGGAAACATCTGGCGTTCAAGTTTTACAATCTCACTTTGCAGTTCCTCATTATCTTTTGTCATCATTGCAAGTTGTCGCCTGAGAGATGCCGCTTCATCTTTATATGCTGAGATTTTGTGGGATACTGATGCGCACATCTTTCTCATACTCATAAGTTCTTGCTGTTTTTGCTTTTCTGCATCCTTTTGAACCTGAAGCTGGGCTCGCAAATCTTTAATTTGACGAACTTGTTGTCTAAATTTATTAGCATTGGAACTTTCACAATCTCTAAGCTTAGATTTGAGCGTCAGTAGATTTTGTTCTAATCTAGCCATTTGTTCTTTCTTTTGCATAACAGATTGATTAGCTTGAGCAATAACTTGCTTGAGGTTTGGGCCATGAGCATTTCGCTCTTTTTGTATTTGTGCTGTAAGATCTGCTATCTTTTGTATCTGCTTTTCGCGATTTGCTCGAATGATTTGGGCCAATTCTTTTGCTCGCTTCTTAGCTGCTTCAATATCTGACTTTGCTTCACCACGAGCAACGTTAATATCTGAATTTAATTGTTCTATCATTGCTCTAAGACGTTGAGCTTCTTCTCTTCTTTCTTGTAAGCAATTTTCCCAGATTTCATTCTTACTTTCAAGCTGGGATTGATAATATGCCTGTTGCTTAGCACGTAATGTTTCGATTGACTCAAGTTCATTCCTAGTTTGATCATTTAATTCGTTAATTTGTGTTTTGGCCCATTCTTGGCGATCAATTTCATTCTCTTCGCCTTCTTTTGCAGCTGCAGCAAGTGATGCTTGATGCTTTGTCGTTTGTTGTTGAATTTGGTTAATCATCGAACGTTTTTGTTGTGTCTGAGAAAAATTCTCAGAACCTCTATTTATTTCTTCCATCGTTGCCTTAATTGTTTCATCTGCTTTCATTTTCCATTCTTTTGAAAGATCAAGGATGCTCGAATCTGATGAATTAAACATTAATTTGCCAAAATTTCTAAACGTACACAATCTCGACCAAGAATTGGAGAGCCGCACAAGCTACAATAAAAGGAACAAGAAGTAATAGACGATGATTGATTTATGCATACCAATCATAGCTCAGGCTTCGTAATTTCTTTTCAATCGATGTGAATTCATTGAATTTTCTTGTATTCCAACTATGGCTACCATCTAATAAGATTGTATTCTGCAAAAATGTTATCTTTTGTCTATTATATATCCATTATCTCTTAGTTACTTGCGAGAATTTACAAAAAAGCAAAAAACGACACCAATCGGATTTGAACCGATGCGGGACAAGCCCATGGGGACTCAAATCCCACGCCTTAACCACTCGGCCATAGTGCCATTACATTTAGTTAATTAAATAATTATATAAAATAAAATATTATCAAAACTGAACGATAGAGGAGTAGAAACACCCACAATCACCACTCTGCTCTAAAATATAACCACTCCCAAAATTTTATAATTATATTATATATAAGTACTTAAACAAAATCTGTATGTTATTTCTCATTAACACTCATTAATTATCCGGATTTAAATCAAATTCACTTAATTCTCAATAAATTCTATCATTTTAGACTTATCATCAAATTCAAACACCTTTTCAAATGCTAATTCATTGATCAATATTAATCTGAACAATATTTGTGTTATTTTGATAATAAATTTATTCATTTCGCTGGGTCTTCTTATTAATATTGAGATTGCTACCTTCTTGCTAGTCTAACCATTACTAAGCCATGACAAAATATTAATTCATTGATTGCTTACATGATAAAAAGTGGCAATTACGTTTGTAACTCAAAGATTTTATGGAAAAAGGACAAGATGGTGCCTTGTTTTACACATTTACAGACAAGGCAACTCATGAAGAAGAGGAAGAAACTCAGCAACAGCCTGCTAAACAAGAAGAAACTAAAGAAGAACCAGTACATGAGCCGCAATCTTTCGAAATGGTTTATAACCCAAGATTTGGAGTTAGAATACCTCAAGATAGGTTTTTAAGATTTGGTAAAACAAGAAAATCTACTCCACAGCAAAACAACCAAAATACGACAATTCAACAAAAATCAGAACAGCCAAGAGAAGAAGAGCCTAAGCCTGTTTCAGAACCAAAACCAGTTCAGCAGCCTCCACAACGTAAATCTCCTCGTCAAGCAGAAACTCAAGAAGTTAAAGTAGAAAAGAAAGAAGAAAATAACGAATCATCTCTTCCTGCCTTAAAGCCTAAACCAAAAACAGCGAGACGATCTTATACATCACCTATCAAGAAACCTGCTTACAAAAAACCAGTGTTATCTGCTCGTCAAAAACGCGAATTACGAAAAGAAAAAATTTCAAACGAAGTACTTGAGCATCCTATGTGTATTCCATCAGCACCTAAAGATCTTGCTTTGCTCCTCGAAAGACTCGAAATAGACTTAGAAAAAGCATTAGATTTAGAAAGATATTTAGAAGTTGAAAAAATCTCACGAATCATGAACTCAGCTGAAATCAAACTCGAAAAAGCAAATAAAGACAAAGAGAATCAAAGATATTTAAAGATTGCTAATACCCACAATTCGTTATGTGCCATTGCAAGTTCTAAAGTGGAGCAATGGAATAACAAATATGACGCATTTGCTGAAAAAGTCAAAAAACATATAAATGAAGTAAATTCGAAGAATAAGAAAGAATTAGCTGAATTTGATGAAACAGCTCCTGAACCAATACCTAAGAAATACTCATTAGTTGCAGATAAGATAACACGCTTACGTCAAAAGCAAATGAAAGCAGCAATGAGGTTAGATTTCGAAAAAGCTCTGATTTATAAAATCGAAGCTGACGAACTTGATTCCGTCGATGAGTCTGTTGCTTATGATAAGAAAATACGAGAATTTCTTAAGAAACGCGAGTTCTTAATCAAACAACAGCAAAAACGTATTGATACTGTAATTATGCATGCCCAATCACGTCAATTTATCATGATCAAGGAAAGACAGAACTTAATTACAGGATACGGAGCAAGAATCGAAAATATTGAACAAGATCTTGAAAATCACCTTCTTAAAGGCGATTTTACTCTTGATGAAATTGAAGATGCTCGCGTATATGATGAAGGAGAATCTTTAATGCTATCGCTTCGTGAAACAAAAGCACCAATCAAAAATAATTAAAATCTTTGTTTATTTTTCTCATGTTTATATTAAAGTTGCCGAATTTTTTCACAGACTTATTTAATTATACTCAATGCCAGTTTGCATTTTAAAGGAATACCCTAAAATCAATCTAATTTAGAATTTATCTGAGAGGATTTGAGCCAATTACTGACTTACTCGAAGAAACTATGCGTAATTAAACAAACTAACTGATGCTGTTGGCTGGAAACAAATTCAGATACAATTGACATGTAAATTGTAAAAAAATAATTCATAGAAGTCAGTAAAAAAATACGGTTTTAGGATCGGAGTGTTCACAATAATTTACGGTTATTGTAGATGGGAACCATTTCAAAAATGAAAAATATTATTTGCTTTCTGGTTATTAGCCAAAATGATATAAAATATATATTGATCAAATTATTTATCTGGCCAAATTAGAATTCATTTTTTGAATGATTTATCTTTGATTTTTGCACATAACATAATTCAATGCTACACATGTTTTTCTAAAAATTATTCTTGCATTTTGATTTTTGTTTGAGTACGATAAAATTTTATCGGATTTCAGAGGAATCAAAACAAAATCAATGGATTGGGACAAAGCTAAGGACCAATATGAAAACAAACAACTCTTCGATGAGCATTATTTGTGCATGCGCCTAGTAAATCTTTCATATAACCCTCAAGATGACTATAAAGTTCCCTCAGATATTGGCATCACAATCGGTTACAATGGCTTTGCAGGTCCAATGAATCCAATATGGTTTTGCGTAGTTAATGATGAAAAGAAAGCTGTATACATATGCGTACGTGGATCTCGAGATATTTTGGATGTTTATTCCGACCTGAAATCAAACGTAATTGATTTTTATGGATGCCCTTCACATCAAGGTTTTGTTGAAGGTGGAAGAACTATCTTTGATAACTTCCCATGGGATAAACTCGAACCATGCATCAGGAAAGGATATTCCTTCCTTTTCACAGGCCACTCACTTGGAGGAGCATGTGCTGCTATCGCGACAATCGAATTTTATCAAAAATATAGAGATACGAAATTAAAATGCGTTACATTTGGTTGCCCAGGCGTTCTTACACCAGATTATGCACAGCAATGGTATCCTGTCATCGATTCTGTCTTCCATGTTGGAGATCCAATTCCATTTGCTTGTAATCATAATCTTTTTACTCCAAAGAGTGGAGTAAACTTCATTGGAGCACTTGCAGGAGCTCTAAAAGAGTCTGAATATTTCCCTCTTCATTTCCTCGATTCGAAAGCACGTGAAGATGTTTCTCCCGATTATCAATTACTTTTGCCACCGGGCAGATACTTTGCCGTTGGATTGACAACAACGGGAGATCTCAAAGTAGTCGAATACCAAGGTGTGGATTTCTTCGATGGATTACAATCATTCTTAGTACAGTCTGGACACTTAATTAAATTCTACATAAGTACATACGATAGACTTTACGATGAAAAGGTGAAAGGAACAAAGTCATCCTTTAAAGAGCACGTAACCTTGCCAGTTGATTTTACCCCAATCAGATAAGAGTTTCTAAGAATCGTTGTTATCTACACATACATTTAGTTTTCTCGAATATACTATTTATTTTGTAAGATATTAAAATATATATTTTTATTTTTTAAGAAATAGTTAAGAAAAGGCCTAAGTACTTTATATTTCCAATAGAGGAGATATCAATACATCTATTCGTTACGTAAATGTACCTCGTAAGAATTGTAATTTGCGCAGCACCATTTCCTAGATGTCCAAATTCATAATTGCCATCAGGTGAAGGAAAACCTGTAGTTTTGTCTTTATTTTGGCCTTCATATAGGAAATATTCTTTAGAAGGAATATAATTCTCAGGCAAAATTGATGATTCATTCAAAACAAAGCCAGAGCCACCTCCCGCACTTGATCCATATCCAGCATTGAATGATCCGATGCCCCAACCACCACCTGGACTATTAAATCCATCATATATTATAGAAATATCTTTGTAAGTCTGGTTTCCACCAGGTAAAGATCTGTTACTAGAAGATATATCATTATGTTTGCAGTAGTCGGCACCATTACCTCCTAATAATCCACCACCATAACCGCCTGGGTTATAGCAGAATCCTGAATACAAGAATACTCCTCCACCACCGCCAGCTCCTGCAACAAGTATACGAGAAAGCGGGCTGGATGTAAGGCGGAAATCAGTAGAGCCTCCTCCGCTTCCAAAGTAAGAATCTTCAGGAGAAAATGCTCTACCTCTATTATTGTATCCTGATGGTACTTGCTTGCCTGAAATATTAACCCATTGACCTTGGCCGCCAACATATATCCAAATTGATTCTCTTCGATTTAATTTTAAGATACCAGATGAGTACCCACCAACTGCTTGGATATCATTTTCGAGACTTCCGCCTTGAGCTCCCCAAGCTTCAAGGAGATATTCACCTGGTGCAAACTTTGCAAGGTAAGGAGTGCATGATGAAGGACTCGAGCATGGATAATTTAGTGTTACCTTTCCACGAGTAGCATAAATGCTATCGGAATTCTCGTTAGATACGAGTAAAGACAGCTATAAGTTTCCGATCGTTCAAAATTTTGTAAACCTTTTCGAATAAAATCTTCAAATATGCAATTCCTGTTAATATAGAAAAATAAACATTTCAGAGCCAAATCTGAATAAAAAGTGACAACGCCCAACTATAAGATTTTTGTTAAATTATAGTTGTTATACATTAAAATGCGATTTTGAATTCTTGGCTCACTCTCAATCATTGCACTCAAAGTTGATTTCATTCAATTTTTGAATTGCGATAAAAAAATATCATATTTTGCCAATTTTGTCATTTGGCAAATTTGCCTACAATGGATAAAGTGATTGAAGCCAAGAGGCCGATTTCTTTTCATATTATACGCATCACCCTTGTAGGATGCCTTGGTATATTGCAAGTAATCACTGCATTTCAAAAAACTTGTCCATCAATTGTTGCAATTGACATGGCAATGTCTTACAATGTTGAAAAGCATAGACTTGGTACTTTTGCAGCATTGTACTTCTATCCTTATTCCGTTTTTCAAATCATTTCCGGCTTATTAGTAGATTACTTCGATCCTGTTTGGGTTGTTACTATATTTGGAATTCTTGCATCAGCAGGATCTGTTATGTGTGGATTTTCAAGGAATTTGTTCGAAGGAATTATTGGTCGAATATTAGTTGGTATCGGTACAGCTCCAGTTTTAGTCGGAGCGATGAAGATATTCAGAAACTGGTTTAAGAAGAACCAAGTACCTATTGCTTCCGGTATTTTAATGTGCCATACTTGTATCGGTGGCGTTTTAGCAGGAAAGCCATTGTCCGACTTCTGTAAATACCATAGTTGGAGAAAGGCCTTTTACAGCATTGGTGGTATCGGTGCATTTTTCTCAATATTAATGGCAATTGTTGCAAGAGGTCGTCCGGAGAGACATGGATTTGCACCAGTCAATGAAGAATCAAAGCCTACAGTCGAAAAGTCTGCAAAAGAAAGAGTTATTCAATTATTTATTAATATGTGGAAAATTGTCAAATATCCGTATTACTGGATACCTGTTGCGTTCGTATTAATGAATGTTGTACCATTTATCAATGCAACAAGTCTTTAAGGCGGACAATATTTAATTGATGTTCTAAAATTCACAAAAGCTCGTCAGGGATATGCAATGATGGCATTCCACATTGGTGTTTTTGTTGGAAGTCTTGTATTACCTCAAATTTGTAAGTGCCTCAAAAAATCAAAATATGTTTTGTTGTTTTGTGGTATTGTTGAATCAGGAATATTGTATGCTATATTTGGACTTGGTAACAGATTAAGTTTTATTGCAGTTCTTTCTCTCTTCGGTACATTTGGTATATTTACAAGACCAAACATTGCAATTGCTTATCCTCTTTTGCATACTTATTACGAACCAGAATTAGCTGGTACGGCTACTGGAATTGCCAACTTCTGTACAAGTTTCACAACTTCTATTAGTATTCAGATTTCTTCATCGATCATTGCACATTACGGTCATACTGATAGCACCAGTGGTCATGTTTATACATGGAAAGGATATCAATATGGACTTTGGCTGATTCATTCCATTGAAGGAACTTTAGCTATTCTTTTTGCAATATTCATTAAAGATGGAGACTCACAATGCTGCAAGAAGAAGAGACAGAAACTCGAATCCGCCATGGAGTCTACAGAAGGAACTTTAACTGCACCTCTTATAGTATAATGATATTTATTTCTTTTGGAATAGAAACTTTCAATATAATATTTTAGTAATTCTTGCTATATATTTTGTAAACATTTATATAATGTCTGCATATCTGAATCTTTTTTATTTGAATGAATAAATGGTTATTATCTGTGTTCTAATTGCATTAGTAACAAGTAGTTAATGTTATTTTGCTGTAGATTTTTAAAATATGCATTAAACTTGATTCCTTGGTAAAAATATACCAAAAGACCTAAAATATGTGAAGCTAAAAGTTGATTTATAACAAAAACAAATCGTGTAAAAATCTTTATTTGTTTGGTGCTTTGATACCATTGGTATATAAATGGTAAATATCTGTTATATAAAGAATAAATTTCGATTATTTCAAGAAAAATTAGTTAGTTCTATGAAGAAAATGAAGTACATGATATGCTTGTTTTATTTATATTGTTTGTGTATCAGACATAATTTTTAGTTGGTCCACGACGGTTTGGTAATTTTTTATCCAAATGTCAATGAACATCAAATCTATCCTTGCTAAGTACTCATCCAACTTACGCAGAGACTTCCTTGCCATCCTAGTTAAGCTTTCTGCCAAGAAGCTCAACATGTACACAGTCAGAAACGACTGGAGAACTAAAAAAGGAATGCTCGACTTTCTTGAGCGTAATTGGGAAGCTATTAGCAAGTTTATTGTCTCCGACCCCGCCATCAGTTGGTTCTGCAATAACTACTCAAATATGGCTCAGGCATTTACTGATAGAAAATTTGCCTTCTTCATTCAAGATAACTGGAGTTCAGTTGGCGACATTCTTTCTAGGGCTGATGTCCTAACGATCCTCCAGTATCAAAAGCCAGTTATTAAGCAGATGCTCGAGACAAAAGATCCAGTTCAAATTCCACCCATCTGGGCTCAGTTCCAGCCATCTAGAGATCTCTTCCATATCATAAAAATGTACAAGACAGGATCTCCTGTTGAATCTCCTAAGGTTTCTCCTTGCAATTCACCCCGGCTGGACACAACCGAGGAAACTATTGATTCGTTCCCCCAAATGAACGAATATGACTTTGGGAACTTCGAACCTGACCTTGTTGATCCAGGATTCTTTGATCAGCAGTTTATATTTTCCGACGAATAAGAATGATGGTGATACAATTCGCAGAGCAGGTGTTACGTTTCTCCGCCAAAATATTTGATGTACGGCGATGGAAAGATTTTGATTTTCCTTATTTTTCCACCTGAATAAGGCAAAATTAAAATTTCGTGCATCAATAGTGAGACTCCTTTTCACTCTGGCTGCTTATTGTTAATTCTATCAAACTGATTTCGTAGGGAAATACAATCTTCCTAAAACGCGGTCATTCTGCCCAACTTCTTCTGCTTTCTTACTTGAAACATGAGGAATGTTATGCAATGCATGATTACTTTTTGGTTCTTAGATTGATTTCGGTCAGTTTCGATTTCGAAGTTCCCCAAATTTTATTTTGTTTGTTTTTAATCGAAAAAAAGTTTAATTTCGTGTGTAACTTTATCATTACTTTTTTAATATAGATTTAATGAAAAGAAATGTTAGTAATTCAAATTTTTTTTATTGTATCTGAAATAATTTCTAAAAACCAAACTTTTCATTAAATGTCACTTGAGTTCTGTTGGAAATATCCTTTCTTTAGCTGATATATCAGTAATATTATTGAGTTATTTCATCCAATGCCTAACTATTAATGAGTGTCTATCCAAGATATGTTTTATTAATTATTTCTAAAGAATATTAGATTTTAGAGCATATATTCTCCTCGCAATCATGTAATACTACTGATAACTTGCAATAGGAGATCAGGAAATTACATATAGGCATTACAATAAATGATTTATAATTTACCGGTTTGCAAAGCATTATTAATAACTTTTCCAATTTTTTTCGGATACAAAACAAATAATAAGTGGAACATATGTATACTAATGTAAAGCAACACAATTTCAGTCACTAGCAAATGGCAAACATTTCCTCAATATTCATATGGTATATTGTTTAATCATGATATTTCGATGTTCTTTGTTGCAACTAAAGCAGAATCCAAATTTGAATTTAAAAAGGAGATATTCATCAAATTATCAAATTCTGTATAAAATCGATTAATAAAAATAAAAAATAATAAAAATTAATAAGTTAATAAAATTTTTCGTCAAGCGCTTGAAAATGGAGAACCATTAAAACCTGTTTATTCGTCAAAAGATAAAAATGCAATTATTCTTAAAGTGAAAGGTCGTCAGCCAAATTTAATTCTTCGATATAGCTATCGAAATGTAGAGTATTCAGATGATATGCATTTAAGTGTTGTAATCAATGTTAATGATTTCAGTTATGAAATACCTCAATTAACAAACTCACATTTAATAATTGCATTTGCAAATATGCCAAGGCATTATGTTAAGGTAATTAAGCCCACAGGATATAGTTACTATTATAGTGAAGCATATATTTCTGATATAAATGAAAAATATGGAACATGTGTTCGCGTAGATATGGAAAAAGAAGTTGATGATGAAATATCAGGAATATTCGATGTTGATGGCTATCTTCCTGCATTTAAAGATGCTAAAAAAGTTGAACTCATTGTTGCAAATGAACTTAGGACACTTAAAATCGATTCAACACCAATAAAAGTCTTTTATATTGGAAAATGCGAACATATTGTTGTCATGTCCAATACTGAAGGAATCAAACGCGAAGATAACTACACATCTGATTCATCATTTCTTTCATCAACAAATGGTCCACAAAATGTTTTAGTTTTCTCTCTTCCAAGTTCAGAAATGATGTACAAATCCAAATATTCCGTGAATAAGTTATCTGAATTGCAATCAGCATATTATTTTGAGTCTACTGGTACAAATCAATATATCTACTCTTACTCACCGTTTTCAATGAATGTAAGATATTATATAGGACCACAAAGTAAGTCTAGGAGTCATATTTATTGTAAAAATAATAACAATGAATTATTACTATCAGAATATTTAAAGTAATCAGAAATTTATTCATGTAGTCATACAAACTATATTAACATTTTATTAATTGATGGAAGGATCGAACTTTCTGATTTTAAATTTGATGATCCAAAGATATCAAATGAAGGCTATCCTCAGTATGATAATGGAAATTTGAAGCCATTATGGTTACCAAAAACACAAACATCGAATGAAACTTCAGGTACTGATAATCAGAAGAATAGTTCTAGTAATAAAGCTCCAGCTGGTGCAATTTCTGGAATCGTTATTGGTATTATTATTGAAATTGCAATATTTATTATTGCATTTATTGTTATCCGAAAATACAAATCATCAACAACAAATACTGATGTAGGTGATAAAGTTTAAATTCTCAGACATACGATTATTTTTGATTCAAATGCCTTTCGGCATTAAAAGCAAAAATAATCATATACCTGAGAATTACACTTTTCCGACATTTTTGGGTCGCTTCGCGCCCCTGACAAAACGTCGGAAAAGTGTAAATTTTCTTCCTGAATAAAAATTTACATTTGATTTTTCTATATGAACTTCTATAAAAAATCTATTGTCTTACAGAAATCTCCAAATTTAAACCATTTCATATAGTTTGATTGTGCAAAACCTATATTCTTAATATAAATTCACTCCCATTTCACTTTATCAAGAATATTCTATTCAAAAGTTATTGCCCATATTGTAATTCAACTCCGCTGTTTTGCTGATAATATAGAATGATTCAAACATTCAAAATTAGTACTTGAAATTAATTTTAATTTTGAATTATAGGAAGGAAGTTCAATATGGTGTCACCCCCTTTCATTTTTAAAATTTAATTCGGGAGTCTTTTTGGCTCTAAACCAAGTTCAAATTAATTGCTTTTAGAAAACATGTTCATTGTGAAGAAGTTACAAATAGTATTTGGCGTCTTTATTATGAAGGAATTGATCCTCCTTCTTCAGTAATTACAGGTGAAGTTCAACAAGTCACAACAGCAGATAAAAAATGCTTTGCATACATCTGTAAATTTATCAACTTACAAGATAGAGCAGTTAAATTCGAAAATACAAATGATTACTCGATTTTACTTTGCGAAAACGTTTTTTCAAAAGGTCCAGGTACAGTATATATTGAAAATTTTAATAATACTGCCATTATTATTGATAAATTCTGTTCATTTGAAAGCTAAACTTCTTCAAGTGGTCAATTTACTTATTTCAACGGCAAAATCAACAGTAAAATCCTCCAAGGATCAATTTGTAATGGAGGAAATAGTTCAGTAGAAGATGGAATGATTTCCCAAAATCAAGGTTTTGGATCACTTTCAAAAACAAACATTTCTAACTGTATATCAGCAGGTTCTACAGGTTTTAGTTATGTTTATGTTGAATCAACAGTAAATGTTTCATTTTGTAATTTTGAGAATTTAAAAGCAACTGACGGAATGATTACTTCGTTTTCTTATTGTCAAGGAAGAATTGACCGATGTAATTATATAAATAATTCTCAAAATTGTGAAGATTGTGGAATTGTTTATGTTTCATCTTATAGACTTGATATTTTCGATTCATCTTTCCAAAACAATCCTCAGATTAACAAAGGAAAATTATTTAGAGCAAGTGGACCGATTTATATACATCGATGTAGTATTGATTCTTATTCATCTTATGGATATGTTGATACATCAGAAAAAGGAGAAGTTTCATTTAAGAATAATTTAAAATTCATTGATTTAAGTCCATGTGAAGGAAATCTTGAAATAATATTATTTGAACAAAAGAAAGAAAATAAAATTATTTCATTATGTCCATCCATAAATTTTCTTTTTGGTAAGTATCATATTTCTATTTTGTTCATTACTAAACGATAAAAATTAATAATTTTTCATATCTTCTGCATTTTTTAAACAAATAACGAGAAAAATATAGAAATAATAATGATATCAATTCGATCATAGTCAATGGTAACTTCATGTATAATGTTGTAAACCAAATAGAAATATTGTAAAAATTATTAAATTCTGTTTATAGTAGTCTTGGGAATTAATTCTAAATTAAAGGGATGATTTTGAAAGTCTGGCGTAGTTTGTATTTTAGAGATAAATCCAAAAATATCAATTCTTTCATAGGAGAAAAATATCTTCGGGTGTTAAGTTGTAAACTAAGGCAGTGATCTTTTAACACATTATAATAAACTTTAAAATATTAAAAAAAATATTATGTTTTTAATCATACTCATTTTCATATGCACAAAATGATGACATTGGATCAACAATACCTTCATAAACTGTTTGATCGTCAATCATATCAACTTCGAAGTCTTTGCAGAACTTGTTGATCATTTCTGTGCAATCATCCAGATCGGATTTGATTTTATCGATTTCGTCACCGGATTCAAATTCAATCAAAAGTTCGTTCACTGCTCTTCGATGTTGTTTAAGTGCTTTAACAAGACATTCTGAGAACTTAGAAACGTTTTCTTCAAGAAGTTCTGGATACTTTTGTTTGATAAAACTCAAACAGTCACGTGCACAGTTAGGATGTTGCAATGTTGTATAAAGCATTTCTTTGTATCGACAAAGATCTTTTCCGAAAATAACCATTGGTGAATCCTTGAATGCACCAATGGGCATAGAAAGATATGGATCGAAGTCTTTCACAAGTTGATCAAGAGATGTGAATGCTCGGTTCAATGTATTAACACATAATTCTTTAACACGAACTTCCTGGATCTCGATCTTCTTGATAGAAACACCTTGATGATAAAATGGTAATTTTTCTGATGTTTCGATGTAAAGAGTTTTAATAGGATTCTTCAGTTCTTCAGATGATTTCTGTGATTGTTTATTGATAGAAACAACTGATCGGAACTTATCCCATGAATGAGGAGCTTCATCACCTTCGATTTTATCATCCGATGGCTCTAATTGGATCAAACAAATACCATCACCTTTGCATTCCTCATGATGATCGCAATAATCTGTTGGACAAACAATTCCTTCGCGATTCTTCAGTTGTTGAACAAAATGGATTGTTTCCGTCTTCTTGCAGCAGTATATTCGTTGATCTTTCTTGCCGCCTTGTCTTCTTTCTACCATGAAGAATGACAATGGAATACTGACACCAACTGTGTTTCCTGTAGAAATACTAGACAAATAATTGGACAATTTAGAACAGATTTCTTTAGACCGGCCGTAATCGCGGTTCTGATAAAGAACACGTAATGCCATTGATGACAAACCGCGCAATGTATAATATAACTGTGCTTCTTCGCATAACCAAACAGATGAATTCAAATATTCAATCAAAAGATTTTCATTAAAATCAGACAACAAAATTTCGGCATCGGCATTCCCTGCATCAACTTTAACTTTAGTTTCGACTTGAACTGAAGGAATGAAGAAGAATTCTTGATATGTTCTAGATCGGCCGTAATCATAGACATTGTTTGCCGTTCTGATTGGTTGTGTCGTTGATAAATGGAAACCGGGTGGTTTAGGCAATCGTTCGTTCTTCTTTTTATTTTCGAGTTTTTCATGTTTAGAACGATGTTCAACAACCGTAGCAATTAAACATGTACAATGTAATTGTGAAACAAACGCTGAGATATAATCACCGGATTCGATATTGATACGAACTAATTCACTCAACCACTTTAAGCGCATGTTTGGAAAGTCCATGTTTTCATCAGCCAATGACATTAATTGTTGACAACGAATGGACAATGCTTGTTTTGATGATTTCTGTTTTTCAACAATATCTGCAATGGATAAAGCAGAATCCATTCGATCACTAACTTTCTTTTTAAGTGATTTATTGTCTGGTGTAAGTTCTTTAATTATCAAAATATATTCTTTAAACATAGGAATCATTGAAACTTTGTTTTCTAAAAGAATTGTTGCGTATTCATCAATGAATGAAAGTGTGGAAACATTAACTTGTTCATATCGATTGTAATCTTGTTTGAAACTGTTAATAATCAATGCGGTACTCAATGCACGTGATTTTGCTTGTTTGTACATAATTAATTTAGTAGACATGATGATGAAATTACGTTCTAATGGATATGATTCGAATAATGAATCACAAAGTAAATACAAATACTTGTAGTTATCTGTTGGTTGGTATCGACACAACAAAACTTCAATTAACTGGATGACTTCGTTCATGCAAACACCTAATTCTGATTTGACGTCAAACAAAAATTTGATGTAAATATGTGTCAGCAAATCAAGAAGATTCAAGTTAATTTGTGGACATTCATATGTTGGTTTGATGACATCCAATGTGTCAATGATGATTTTTCCGGTCAATTTAAGGAATGAAATGAAATGACACTTGAATGAGATAGATAATGAATGGAAGAATGATAATAACTGCTTCTGTTCACTGTTCTTGATTAAGAATAAAACAAATGGAATCAATGCAATTTGCATTCGTTTGTTAGACATAAATAATGGGGATTCAAAATGATTAGAACATAAATCAATAAGAGGGAATAAAGCAAATGCGATTCGTTGTCGAATACTATAACAAATCTCATCTAAGTTAGATAACAATCGAGCTAAAAAGCCTGCACAAAGTGCAAATGTGTCGGGATCACGACCGCCAAAACATTGTTGTGTCGACAACAAAAATTGTGATGTAAGTTTAGAATAAGGAGAATACATAGCGTTCGTTGATAATGGTTTCATGTTGTTAGTCATGTTGATCAAGAAGTGCTTAGAAAGAGATAATGGAGATAAGAAAATCCATTGAACTCGTGTAGCAGACATTGGATGTGCAATTATGGGTCTGACCTTAGATATAGTTCGAAGGAATGTGTAAACGAATCGTACGATTTCTTCATTTCCAAGATCTGAAAGATTATGGAAGAAGAAGAGTCCCAATGACTCTGTAATGGAATTGCAATCAATATCCTTAGTCAATAAGAAGCAAATCAAGTCAAGAAGTGAGTTGTTAATTGTAATTAAGTCTTGAGCTGTTGATTGAAGTTTGCCATCGGAGAAAACAATCTGCATAATGTCAAGAATAAGTGGTAAAGATGTTGAAAAGTCTGGAATGATTGTTGTTTCGATCTTTCCTTCAATGATTTCATGACAAAATGCTTTAATCGCTTCCGGATAGAATGTTGGGAAGTCATCACCAATTGTTTGTGGATCGAAATGATTGAACAACCACTTTCGAAGTGATGTTCTACCGCCATCGCCAAATGTGATCAATAATTGAACCAATGTTGGGAGAACTTTAGAATCGCGCTTCTTAATAAGTCGGCAGAAAAGAGGGATGATGTAAAGATCAGCATATGACTCGTCAATTCCAGACAAACTTGGAATATCGAAATTATCAGTCAATGCCGTAGCCATGTTTTGAGGAGGGAAGTAGAATGGAGGGATAGTGATCTGTAATGACAAACCTTCTGATTTCTTTGGTGTTTGCAGAGTTACATTGGCATCTTTAGAAACTTTGCCTGCTTCTGCGAAAAGCTCGACTTCTACAGATGTATTGTTATTACCTGAGATGCAACTTAATGGAATAACTGCTGTATCGATCGCTTTCTCTTTGATCTTAGAATTTTCTTCAACATGATAAAATTGAATCAGGAAATGACACTTTAAGATGTTTTCTGTAGGGACGATCGGTATGAAATCAGGGAATGCGTGTTTTGGATTGCCATTGAACATCGGAGAAACATAAAAATCTGTAAGACCTGTGCAATTCTTGTTTATGATTATTTTGAGAGTCTATAATTTTTTGTAGTTTGGTTTCTCACATACGCAAGCTTTGAAGTAAACTTTTCCTGATTTAAGATTCAACGTAGTCCAAATATCGCGAATTGTGATGATTGGATAAAACATTTTGATACATACTTATAAGATTGACCTAGCTGATTTGATATAATCTCCTATTAAATGTAAGCTCAATTTGATTCGTAAAGATTAACGCCTTATGAACATAAGTATCTTAACATTCTCTCTTTGCTTCGTTAATATAGATATTTTCATCATCTGAATAATAAAATTATTCCTTATGATCTAAGATAAACTCAATTGTTTTTTCTTTGATCCGAATTCCACTTTTACGAGACGATAGTAGTAGGATAGGATGGGTTTTGTGACTTTTTTTGTTACATCTATATATAGACGATGCATTAAAATATATTTATTTATAAATCATTAAAAAATTAAAGTTATTTTTAAAATAATTTATTTTTTTATTCTGACATGAATGACCCAACAAGTAAAACCAGATAAAATAGATTATCGAATTTTAGAGGATGGTGTTCCTGTTTATATTCAAAGATTTAAAGGGAAGCAATATTATAGAATTGTTAATCCTGAATACATAAAACATTTATTTAAAAAGGAAGACTGTGAATTATTAAACGCTAATGAATATGAAACCAATAAATCAAAATTGAAATATAAATATATTGGAAGTGATGAAAGGTGTAAAGATAAAGATAAAGTTTATTCAGTTTCATATAATGAATGGAAAACCAATAAGATAAGAAAACATTTAGGAGATTATGGGAAATGTTCTGAATTCTTTAAATCTAGTATATACGAGAGAGTAAAAGAAATTAGAAATAATTATTTTCATGAATAAAAGATTCACTACCATAATGAAATAAAAAATAATTTTTTTAAAAAAATAAATTATTAAAAAATTAACATTAATTTTAAAATAATTTATTTTTTTATCTTTTATAAAAGAAGCTATATATAGATGATGTCAGATATTCCGCGATTAATTAAACATTGTTTAAATCCTGAATGGGTTAAACTTCAATTTAAAAATGAAGATTGTGAATTATTAAATGAATATGAAAGCCAAAATAAGCTAATGAGGTATAAATATAATGATAAAGAATATTTAATTTCATGGAATCAATGGAGTCATAATCAAAGACCTCATAAACGAGAAGAAGAAATTGAAAATAATGAAATGGAAATCATTGATGACATTAAAGAGGATGGAATTCCTAAATTTTGTAGAAAAACCTTTAGAACTAAGTTAGGAGCATATAAACGTAGAGTATTAAATCCTGAATACATAAAACATTTATTTAAAAAGGAAGACTGTGAATTATTAAACGTTAATGAATATGAAAATGCTAAATCAAAATTGAAATATAAATATATTGGAAGTGATGAAAGGTGTAAAGATAAAGATAAAGTTTATTCAGTTTCATATAATAACTGGCACACGTTAGGGATAAGAAAACATTTAGGAGATTATGGAAAATGTTCTGAATTCTTTAAATCTAGTATATACGAGAGAGTAAAAGAAATTAGAAATAATTATTTTCATGAATAAAAATAAACTTTAAAAATAAATTGAAACTAATGATTATTTGAATTTATGAAATCAATTATTTGATTCATTCTTTCTTCAATCTCTTCTATTCTTTTTGTTAAATCATCTATTTTCATTAATGAGGTGATTCTTGATTGAGGAATAGATTTCAAACTAACCACCCCTTTTATTTTTGAAATTTTGAATCCATCAACTTTAAACATTTTATTCAATTTACATGTTGTCAATTCTTCAAATAATTTTTTATTGTTAGCATAATAGTCATTAAATTCTTCAACAGATGAAAAAATTTTTATTTCAGTAATTGGTTTAACAACGTTTATTTTTTGTTGAACATTTTCACTTTCATTTATTTCTTCCTCCTCTGTTCCATTTATTTTTAAAATCGGTTTCATTTATCATTAAATAAAAATTAGAATATAAGTGATGAAATATATTTTTTAATTAATATTAAATCAGAAATGGCGGCAGGATTCTTTAAAAAATTATGGGATGGAATTAAGAAAGCTGCAGGTTGGGTTTATAAAAAGGTTATTAAACCTGTTGCAAACTTTTTGGCACCAGTAGCGAAAACGGCAGGAACTATCATAGGTGGAGTATTAGGTACTAAAGCAGGTAATCCGGCAATGGGAGCACAAGCAGGTAACGCAGTTGGTGGAATTGCTGAAGGAATACTTAATAAAATAGGGGGTGGATAGTGGAAAAATAAATAAATATTATTTTTATCTTAGTATCGGTTGTAGTCTTTGATAAACTTTTTCTCCTTTATTTAAAATTTCTCTTATTGGGGCAGCTTTTGGCGTTATTGATTCAGCAACGTCACTAATTGCTTCTTTATTCTTAAATATCCAATTTGCTCCTTTCTTCATTGTTTCCCAAACTTTATGCGCTCCTCTTTTTACTTTATCCCACAGTTTCTTAAAGAATCCTGCAGCCATAGTTGATTATTTCATTAAAATTAAAAATTCATTTTCATCTTTTAATTTTGATTTTTTATTTAATAATAAATGACGACTAACTATTTGGTGCCAAACACTAAACCAATTAATGGAAATGTGTTTCATTCATTCGAAAAGATAAATGAAATATTCGCAAAGAATGATGGTAGAAGATATTATAGAGAACTTGAAAGTTCATGCTATGACTCTGATGCTCCATATTTTGATGATAAACAAACTCATTTAAGAATTACAAATCCAGCTCATGATGTGAACCAATTAGGTGACACATATATTAAACGCAAAGTTAAAGCAACTCTAGTTTCAAATAAAGCTTTCACATGTGATGCCGCTTTTAAATGCATGCGTTTATTCGTTGGTTACAAATCATCAAATCAAAGCTTTAAACAATTAGAAGTAGAAACTGAAAGAGGTGATGCCGGTTATCTTCAGATGGATTGTGCCCGTGAATCTTTCGCATTTGCAACATATAAACCAAAATCAGAAAGGAAAGTTAAAAAGTTTGTTCATTCGTTATATAATAATGTTCAAAAATATGATAACTCAGTATGTGGTAAATATATTGACCCTTCAGAAGTTTTCAAGAAAGCAAATGAAGAAGTTGATATCACTTTTGATATGATTATTCCGGTAAATGATTTGTTAGCATTTCAGGCGTTCGATGATTATCCTAAATCATTTGGTGAAATCATTCTTAAATATTATGTTTTCAGGGATACTTTAGTATTTTGTCAGGTTGACCCGTTAAGAGTTGCTGATTTACAAAATTACGTTTATGAAACGATAACTGATGAAAATTATGAAAAGATTATGAATCATGTTTATAAATATGATCGCAAATTCCAACAAATCGGACTTCCTGCCAAATTAATTACAAGCTTAGCCGCTACATCTGCTGACGCAACAGTTGATAACGTTATTATTTCATGCACAAAGATGGAAGTTTTAGAGGATAAATGCATTACACCAGGATACGGTTTAATTGAAGAATCAGTTAAAGCAATACCACGTTTATTTAGTAAGGAAGATCCATTCATGATTCCAGCTCAACATATTGACGTTCGTTCACTAAATGGAGGTTGCATCACTCCTGAAGGTATCAGCTCAGATTTCTCATACGCTCTTCATAATGTTACAGATGTTGTGTTAACATTTCCAAAGAATGCAATGCAAAGAACAGTTTTAGAAAATCCAATGCTTCGAGGTCTTCAGGTCACTATAGATTCCAGAAACTTCCCGATCAAGCGATGACCACAGTGGGTGACATATTCTTTACACGTATGCTTCAAGCTTCTGATTTAGATGGAGTGAATGAATGCACGGAAGAATACGAGGACTCATTAACTAGACCACTGAATGATGATAATGGCACACCATTAGCTAGAACATGGAAAGACCAAACTTCATTCTTATGCACTATTCCAGTTCAACGTGATGGAGCGGGTATATTCTTTGATGGATTAGAAACTTTCAACTCACAAGTTACAGTACAAGTGAAAGCTTATCCAATCATTTCAGGGTGAAAATGACACTTACTGTTCAAAGGTGACAAATCCTCCTCAGGTTTGGTTTACTAGGACTACATATTGGACATGGACACCGGACGAAGGTTTGAAATATCATCCAACAGGTACACCACCACAGTATAGAAGTTCATATGATGAAATATTGATGAATAGAAATGTATAAAATTATTTAAATATTTTTGATTAAATGGATTTAAATTCATCCACCCCTTATGAAGAATTAGCGGGAGTATATAATACATACGTAGATGATATGATTAATGAAGCATTGAGTGATAATAGAAATGCTCTATCTAAGGAAAAATTAATGAAAATTCCATATTCTGAATGTTACTTAAATTCAATCACTGCAGCAATTGGTAAACAAAATAAAGGTAAAACTTAACGATATTAAAACAAATTATCATTATTGCTAACACTTCCCCCATTCACATGTGTTAATTTATATCAACCGTTCAGGTTCACCTTCAGATAATACATTTGAATCTTTAAAGCATTTAATCAAAATTCCAATTATTTATTTATCACAAGAAGAAGCAGAAGATTATTTAAAAAACTTTTTAATGTATAAAGAATTATATAATACAATCAAGAAGCAAGATTAGAGGATAAAAATTATTGATAAACAACGGGATGAATTATTTGAAACACTTTCTATTTCAAATTTTGATAGAGAATTTTGCATTCACTAATTTTTCTAGATGATGGTGAAATCAAAACTAATAACAAATGAGAAATCATATTTTAATCAGTTATTAACTCAATGTCGACACATTCATGTTCATTCTTCATGGCTGTTCAATACTTCAAAGCATTAAGCACAAACATTAAATCAAATCTATCAACCCTTTTCATTTTCAGTGGTTTAGTCGTCAACAG